TGATGTTTGAACGAACTCTGGAACGCGCTTCAAGTTGCGATAAAAAGAATATGTTGAATGTCCATAATGCATTAGCATAACTCTTCAGCCTCTATAAAACAAGCAGCGTAAAAAATATATAATATGTGTACGTTTAACACAAACACCAAAACCATAAAAACCTTTTTTTCAATACATAATTTTTTAGTCAAAGAATGTGACACTCAATTGAAACGAAAAAATATGAATTGTCAAAAGAAGAAATTTGGAATTATGAAATTCTACCCTAAAACTAAAAAAAAATCCTGACTCACCTCTCAAATCTTCAAACGTCAGAAATCCATAAAGGGCACTTAAAACTTTACACACATTCACTTGAACACTGCTCTTAACTCCTGATTTAGGGAAAGGGCTCCGATCACCCACCGCTTTCCCGGCCCAAAGGCCACTCATTCAGGCGCCCTAACCCTAAACCAGGAGCTCGGGGCGAAAGAGGGGGTCCCCCGCCCCCAGGATCCAGGAGGTTTGCCCTTCTCGGACTGCGCAGGGTTAACGTACCAGGATGACCCGGACGCAACCCACCCGTCTCACCCTCCTTAGCAAAGGGCAGGTTTCCGTCGTCCTGAGTGGCGGAGGGGCTGACACGAGCCCCGCACTCGTCTCCGGGCCCTCCGGAAGGGCCCCTTGGTCCCGGTCACGCCCCCCAGTTAGTTAAGGATGTCGACGATTTACTATCCGGGGGGTCACCCGACTTTTGGGACACCATCGACTCCTGCGGCACTGCGGACAACCAAGATGACTTCCAGCTAGGCTGGCCGTCAACTGATCTTACTGAGCTCCGCCTGTGCTTGCGCGGTACATGTGGGCGTGGCAGAAGGCGGCAAAATTTAAAAATTACACTGTTTTTCTTAATTATAGCAAATTGCGAATTATTATGATATTTTGGAAACATCATTAATTTTATAAAACCGAAATTAATTTAAGGAAACACGTAAAAACAAAATTTCCGACAAAATATTCCGACAAAACTCTCCCAATCTTAAAGTAAAATTCATAATTATTCAAAATTACCCAGGAATGTCCAAAAAAAAAAAAAAAATTTTTTTTTCAGGTATATATAATTTTTTTAGATATATATGTATATATTGTGTTTAACAGTATTTAAGTTTATAACATACTTTTCTTTTATAATTTCTTTTTCTGGATAAATGAAATCCTTGAAACGCGAAGGTGAAAAATACGCTTGTCTAAAAAGGTAGAGGCTTCGGTTTTTTAATTGAATTGAATTGTCTTAATTTATTTTATTAATGGCAACGTATGTAAATGAATTGCAGTAAATGAATTCTTTTTCAAATTATCCTTATTACCAAGTACAATAATTACAACAAAATAAATATGAAAAAAAGTATATTTTGAGGAGGCCTCAATTGGGATTCTCACACGGGCCCCAGCCAATGAAGAGCCGGTAGTGTTTCTTTCTTTATAAAAAATATCAACTGATATAATCAAGAATAGAAAAATCTAATAATCTGTAACAAAATGAGAAATTTTGTAAAAATGTTAACTTTGAGTAATTTTTTAATGCCACCAAAAAACTGAGAGTTTTATTATTAAATATATATATATGTGTGTTGCCTTAATCTTCTTAAATGCACTTTAATAGTCTGACCAGATCCATTAATCTTTCTTGCAGGATAGTCCGTATAGAAGCGAGAGTCTATATATATTAATTCAATTCCTTCTGGTTCATCTTTAATCAATTAAGAAGCCTCAAATCTCAACCCCTCCAACTGACAACGTGCGGTGTTGGTGTGATTAATAATTCTGAGGCATTTGTATAATACAAGCTGCGGCGCGGCAGCCGTGCATGCCTTTGATGCTTTTTTGAGTGGCGCGGCCGCACGCTCTTTCAAATGTGGAAAATGAAATATTTCTAAACAGAAACGACTCCCAACAATCAATAGAATGGACACATTCCATTCATTGATAGCTTGCAAGTCTGAAAGAAATGTTTAGTCTTGCAATAAGCAAAAAATAGTGTTAAATGGTTTATTTTTGGAAAATTTTGGAAAATTATAGATTTATCTATAATTTCAGAGTCTTGGACACAAAAATCACGACAGAAAAAGTAGAATAAATTATTTTCAATAATATTAAAAAAAAAAAAAAATGCAGATTCACATCACATCATAGATAAATAATTGATTAAAATCCAATAAATTTTAAAAATAAAAATACTTGTTTCAAAGTTACTTGAAGTCTATCAAAATCTTATCTCAAAAAGAGAGACCTGAACATATTTTGTGTGGCGAGCCAGAGAATGCAGAGGAGTTGTATTGCAGGATTAATAATTTAATAGAATGATGAATGCGATTCCCGGTGCCTTTGACTCTTTTGGCATGATGGATGGCGCCATCAACAGCCAGTGACAGACACGTAATAAAACCGCGCGCCGCCAACAAGAAAATGAATACACTACATACATGTGATGATGTGAAAAGCCGCGCCGGCAAATCATCATAACAAACTGTATCGTTGTACCTTGCAGGGTCGGCGCTCTGTGATTTTCGTGGACCGTACATTCCATCGCAATACCACCGGTACCAAAAGTGACGACGAGCAGGATCAAATTCTGCGAAAGGGGCAAGGGACGATGAGCGTAAAAAACCTTCAAAATTTATTTTATGAAAAGAGAATAATATTCTGAACAAATTCAGAATGTTTGGTCTTTTGATAAATCTTTTAGTTTGATAAAAATTTATTTATATAAGTCAAGTGGAGTTTTAAAAAGAGGTTCTGAATTTATTAAAATAAATCACGAGTATAGAACAAGGTATTATGGATGCAAAGTGAGAAACAAGTTTGTAAAAACGTTTCCCATAAGAATATTGTAGATTCTGAGGTCGAGCAAACCAAATTATACTTTTACAATAACTTTTTTTTTTTTTTTTTTTTTTTTGAAAATCTTCAGACTATAATTTTGAGTAGAATAATTATTTTGAAGAAATTCTTCTTTACTGTACATTCTGTTATTCATTTTTTTTTTTATACTGTTTTTCTTACAGTATGATGTATGATATATATCTCCTCGGAAATGACTTATATAAGCTAATGTTTACAAATTTATCATCAATATGAATCGAGCCGTTTTTTAGCAGAGATCCCTTCTTATATAATTTAATCCTTAATTTGAAAAAATGTCTTATAGATTTAGAAAATAAATGGCTAAAAAAGTTTTATTTTTTAAAATTATATTGTTCATTTTACTAATAAGCACTAATAAGTATAACAAAAAAAGTAGAAAATGCTTTTCTAGCACAAATACTAATTTTATTTTTAAATATAATTTTATAATGATTTCTAAAAACTTTTTTTAGTATTTTAACTCTGTAATTTGTGTGCATTTTTTTATTTAAATAATCGCATGCCCGCATCTGAGAATAAATTAGTTTCAAGTACGTTCACCATCAGCGGCTCCTACTCAGTTTAATTTTACGAGCGCCTCAGAATAAATCTTTTTTCAATTAGACCTCTGACCGACCCCAAATAAGTTGCAAAGAAGCCGCTGCGGCCAGTGTGTTTTTTGTATCTCTTCTCCTGCCGGTCGTCATAACGCCACTGTCGAATAATTAAAAAAAAAATGGGAGCGAAACAATTAATTTGGCGAACGCTCAACAGCTTTTATTGTGCTCGAAAATTAAATTAAAAAGATGCAAAAACGGGAGGAAGAAAAAACAATGCGCCCGCCAGCGGCGTGAGGGAGGTCCGTGCATATATTATTAATTAACCTTTGGCAGCCACAATAATTAGCTTAATTACTCTGGATTAAAGTGGGTCACGTGCGTCAGGGATGCAGAGCCCACGCTGCGAGGAGATGCGACCGACGAAGCGGCCAGCGGGATTAATTATGCTAACAGAATATGTGCGTCTTTTTATTTTTGCCACACACTGCGCGTGATTAAATTTTGAGTGATACGATTAATCAAAGTGTTCTCTCTTCTCTAACAACCAATTTAACTTTTAATTTTCAGTTAAACTGGTTCTAATTCTCTTTTAAAAAATCAATTAAGCTAGCCTTAAATTTTATGGAAACTATTTGATTTGGAAATTAAAAATTGCAGATAATTTTTGTAATTTTTCTACATTACTTCTTCAATTTTTGACAATTGCGAATCAATTTATGATCGCTTCGGGCATTTAAAATGCCAAAGATATACATTTTCAGCCGAGGATAATCATTACTTCTATTTAATTTCATCCTCTCTGAGCTTGCGATTCCACTCCCTGCGGTATATGTAAAATTTGCCACATTTACAACTGAAGTCCAAGTAAATTGCGAGCGTTTATACATTTGAGGCGCTTAAATATTTTCATGAATGAAATAGTGCGACCAGGATTATAAGAGCGATATGCCAAAATGGACCTGTTTTGCGCCGCTTTTATAATGTGCTCGGCGACACTAAGACCCTCGTAGCCATTCATATTAGTCTCTGGAGCCGGCGAGAAAATCCCTGAATTGATCGCCGGCCGTTCAAGTCTCCGACCAAGTCGTATTATTTACTCCCTTTCTCGACTTTACTATATTATATATTATAACTCCAACAGTTTATTTTGTTTTACCATGCACAGGCATACAATTTTTAATTTATTAAGAAACCCGAGAGTTGCATAATAATTCTATTCTTAATTAATTAAATAAAAAATTGATATCAGTTTTATTTTAATATATTTTTTTCGATGATAATTTTATGCTTTTATACCTTAGAAATGTACTTTTATAAATTAAAATATATCTCTTTAATAATTTAATAAAATATTAAAAAATAATTATAAAATTATAAAAATTTGACCATTCACAATGCTCTATTTAATTTGCAACATCGACACTGTTTTAACTCCCTTTAACTAATCGTTATTAAGAATTGTAGCAAATTTCAGGTTTTAATTAAATATCAGCCAAAGTATTAATTAATTATGTTCCTCTATTTGAACTAACCTCAGATTTGTGTTTATTTTTGCAGACAGAGAACTGCGTGTGCACGTCTTGCGGCGAGTGCATCACTGACAAGTACCTGCTGCAGGTCAACGGAAGACCCTGGCATGCCCAGTGCCTGCGGTGTTGCGTCTGCCAATTGGCCCTGGATAGACAGCCAAGCTGCTTCATCAAAGAGGACTCGATTTATTGCAAGGCTGACTATGCCAAGTGAGTTTTCACGCGTCTCATTGTTATAAATTTATGTTATTTTCACATGTAGAAAATAAATTATATTATTATGCTTTTTGAAACCATTTACAATGAGATTTACGTCCTCTGGTTTCTTGAATATGCCAAAAGTATCTCTAAAAAAGGCAGGGAAGCTGAATTAAATTCATTTTGAATTTCCATTTAAGGAATTATTCAAATTCGAGGTTAATTCAAGACTTATTTCTGTATATTTATACATTAAATTTTAAACCATATAATAACAAGATAATAATAATTTCCCTATAGGAACTTCAAGAAATAATTTTGAATTAAAATTTGACTTTTGATGTCTCAAATTATATTTAAGATTGCAAAAAATCTACTCATTTCTCAACCGTTTTTTTTTTTATTTTATAAATTTTCAGTAGAAGCGCTTCTTGAATTGTTCAGAATGAAAATTGTAGGTTCTCAATACCTTTCTTTATTAATGAATCGAATTGACTTTTATAAAAGTCAAAGTATTGTGCCCGGTTCTATTATAGAAATCTCTAGCTAGTCAAAGGCACCGTTCCTCTGGTTCTTGAAAGGCGAGCCCCCTAATAAAAGCGCAGCTCCTTTCTCTGCACGCGGCGTTCTCCAACACCGCGCGCGATGCAGCGCAGGAGGATTTTCATTGTTTGACAAGTGCGCGCTAAGAGCCACTAGGCTGTCAATCAAGCATGATAAATTATCACCGCAACACTTGCAACTTCTTCTCTCTCTTGAGAATTATTATTTATCATTATCATTTCCCTGGTAATCGATGTTACCAACGTGACTCCACAATAATAATCCTCTTTATTTTAGAGGTTGGCTCGCATTCGTGCGCGCGGTCTTCTCAAAACCATAACCGGGATTATAATGACGCGCCAGAAATGGCTAAATGTGATCAACCAGCAAAAGCTCAGTCGGTGCGCAAACCTCTGCGGCGACCAAAAGGTTCTGCTCGCAAATGCGGGTCATTGTTTTCCCATGGACACGATTAATCTGTTTGGAGAGACAAACCACGGAACAATTGACTTTGTGTGCCATCAAATTTTGATATGGGAATTTATGATCAATGAACGACTATTCAAATAGTGCAAGGGTTGCAAAATTTCAATTACTCAATATTAGGTGAAAAAGGCAGCAATTTTTTAGCCCAAATGTATTTATTAAAGTCGTTTTTTAAAATTTTAATTTCCCCTGATTTAAAAAATAATTTTTAATTTCCAATCAATTATAATTATTAAGATATTCTTTGATTGCAAAATTTTGATTCGTTAATTCATGATTTGAATCAGACTAGTGTAGTTAAAATTATATTTATAATATTAATTATCACATGAACATATATGCTTTAATTATTATTATTTTTTTTTTTTAATATTTTAGAACAAAAAAGGTCTCTTCTGAAATTCAAAAGAACTGTTGCCACTCATGAGCAATTTTAATTGAAAAGCAGCAGCCTTGGCCGGGCACATAAAATTAAATCGTGTAACGAGAGAGTCGAAGCTTATCGCATGCGAGCAGGCTGCTAATAATAATAGCAGTGGTGCCCACGCAGGGTAACGCGATACCTTAATAGAGCAACAACGGCCCCGACTATACCTGACAAATAAATGTATGAAACGCACGCAGCTCATTGCTCACTCCTCTCGCGCATTGTAAATGAAATTGCTCCGCACGCAGACAATGCGCACGGACTCTAATTTACGGCCGCGTATCAAATTTTGCAAGCCACCGCACATTAAAATAATTACTGCCCTCTCCGCCATAACTCTGGGGGCAAGAAAAAAAGAATAACGTATAAAAGGTTTTACTTTTCTGCAGAGTAAATAAAAATAACTAGCAGCGGTCGGCCAGAACTATTTATTTTTATTGCAGCGCGGCAAAGATTTCAAAGCGACATGGAGCTAGAAAGTGGGCATGACGTTGCGATTTTCCGCTCTCACAAACAATGGAGCCGCTCTCGGCATATCTGCATGGCACTCTAGCTGGGTGGTAAACATGTCGTTGGTATCAAAATAGGAATCGGTGCACGTCCCTTTCTGCTCGTATCTAAATATCGAGTCAAAACAGTGACAGTCCAAAAGCGTTCTGCCGTTCTATGCAGCTGAATATCAATATTGGAACTATAAGATTTAAAAAAAACACACACACTGGCTTTGTGACTATGGTAAACAAGATTTTTCCATATTTTACTTCTTAATTGATATAAATTTTTAAATATTCTTAATATTAATGTAATATTATTACATTTTTATTTAAAAACAATTAATATAACATGATTATAACCCTTTGATGGCTTCAGTTAAAAATAAATGGTAATAATAATTATGCTTTAACTATGAATCACTGTCCATATGGCATTGTGTACAATGAATTTCCTAATTCAATTTCTCCTCTAATAAATAAATCTTTAATATTGTTTAAGGACTTATTATTGACATAGTCAAATCAAGTCTTTACAACAATAGAAGCAATTTTGGGCAATTATTGCAAATTTAACAAACCATTGTTGTGAAGACTTGATTTGACTATGTCAATAAGGTGTCCTTAATTAAAATAAATTAAACGGTTTATATTTTGATTCAAATAACTAATAAAAATTAAATCTATTTTTCTTCTCCAAAACTGCGTATGCAATGAAAAACTCCTGTTGTTTCAGTGTAGCAGTTATTTTGTTCTTCTCTGTCTAGAGGCATTATAATTTTTTTCCTTTGAAGTGAAAAATATTTAAAGAAATTCTACTTTATCGTTGAAAATTTATCAACATTTAAGTTTAGGGTTTAAATAATTCACTTTTTGAAATGCCAATTTCTAAATTAATTTAATATTTTTCCGCTTTTTAGCCTTGGCCTAGCTTTTTCTTTAAACTTTGTTCTCAAATAAGACTATTATACTGTTAATACTAATGAATTACCTTGAATAAAATTGAAATTGAAAACTGAGCAGCAAAATCAAGAAAATTTCAAAGATTTCCATAAGTTCCATTTTGATCAAAACAAATTTCTGGAAAAACTCTTTCTGAGTTATCCATTGAAAGAATATGTAAAGCAATAAAGGGTTTGGAAACCTTTCTCACTGCAACGCACAGGTAAAGGAAAATGTGTTGCAAGAGAAGAACTGCATTTTGAGGCCGCTCGAGAGAGAATTCTTCTTCTCTCGATATATAATTGATAGACCTGCCGCGCACGAATGTCATGAACGCGAGTACATACACCGGAATCTTATGACAAATGACATACCGCATATTATATACGTGCATACTTTGTAGCCGAGATGCGCAAGTCATGGTCGCTGTGTGGGAAAACACTTCACCCTGAATATGTGACTGACTTTTGTTCTACAGCCTTTGACGTGCGGTATATCTACGCTCCAAAGCCAAAGGGTTCCAACATTGTACACTCATGCACATAGACACTAAAGAGAAGCATTTAATTTTTATCGCATATAAATTCAATCATTTTTATTTATATTCAGCAAAATCAGAACAGACACAAGATAATATGGAAATTTTCAATTTATAATTGATATTTTTTCCTAACTCTATATCGAGTTGTTCTGATTTTTCCTAACATTTACAATTTTTCTATGTGTAATCCGTAATATACTTTAAATTTTTTTTATAAGAATCAAAATCGATTGCAAAGTCAAAAATTAACTCTAGCCAACATTTACTATAGAAATTTAATATTTCTGCATGCTTCTGCACTTAACTGTTCACTTGCTTGTAATTAACAACTTACATGTGGGAAAAATAATTTGATTGTGGAGATCGTATTTTTACGTGGAAGAGCGTTTATTTTTAATGCTGATTAAAATTATATAATATAAATGTATAATATTTTTGCAGTAAAATTGGCGCAAAGAAATAATCATTTTATAAATTTACATTTCTTAAAATAATCTTCAATAAACTAGTTATTTATTAATAAGTTTTAGGCACATTAATTCATCATTATATTAATGTCATTTTCTTACTTTATATAGCTTCCAGCAATCTCCAGACAAAATCAAATATACCCAAAGTAACCCAATCAACTTTTCAATATTTTTGTGTGTACACTTTTTAGTCCGAAGTCTGCATGTTCTTTTTCACCCGTAGATATTGTTTCGCGCTCTATTTTGCTGGGTCACGCCGCCGCATATTATATTTATTTATCTGCGCGCGAGATGATTTATGCGTGTGAAAAGGTTCAGCAAGGCACGCACAATGACATAAAGTAACTCACACGCAGCAAAAGCAACTGACTGAGATGTTAAGGTGATAAGATCTGATCCCCGGGGAGCGATAAGTAGATTCCTCGGGTGACATCTGAGGATGAAAAATGGCCCCTTCTGATCGCGGCGCGGCAGAGCATGATACGAGAAAAAGCACGCGGGAGAGAGAGCGAGGAAAATAAAATAGTAAATGTTCCGAATTCCTGCGACACGACTTTGTATCGCATTCCGCGTTTAATGATATTCTAATCGCTGCACACGCGTTCGAGAATTAATTATCAAAAAATTTATCGGCGGCAGCTGCAGGAATTTTGAATGCTGAAACCATAAAGATTTTATACATAAAAAAAGAAGCAACCGGCGTGAAGAGCAGAATTCCTCAAACAAAAAATTTGCATATACGGCGAAAAACAAAAAACACACAGGAGTAAAAAAGAGATAATTTAGAGGCGGGAGACATAAAAATGCACCGCATGGGGTCAAAGCGAGATTCCGATTATCTCAGGACGCGAAGTGGCGGTCGGAGGTGGCTCGTTCGCGGCCACTCCACGGCCAGACCCGCGCGCGCATTAATAAAGATTACGCGCCAGATAAGCGATTCGACCAATTTTCGTTTTATATGTAAAAATGAGGGACTACCGGTGTTCATGAACTATCTTATGCGTACATACAACGCTCGATTAATAATTTCAAATTAATTCATTTATTTTTTTATTTTTAAATCTTCTGTTTTAAAAAATATTTCAAAATTGATAATCTCTTCCTTAAAATTTATGTTTGATAAACGAGCTGCTCGAAACAGTTTTAAATATATGATTATGAAACCTGCTAAACAAAATCTTAATAGCCCTGAGAAAGCTCCTAACCTATGCATTTATCTGTTAATGAAATAATTAAAGGGTTAGTTGACATAAATGCATCCCTTTGTAAGAATTAAAAGATACAATATAATAAAATTAAATTTTCTGTGTTGCGCGGGATATGTAATTTTTTTTAAATGTTTTTAACGCACATACTGCACATAGGCTATTTTTTTAAACATGCGAGTGAAGTATGTACGCCTCTCACTCAGTCAGGAGCCTCGATTATTATAAATAAAAAGTGGAGACCCACGCAATTGTAATAAAGGAGGACACTTTTATTGTATGCGCGCATTGCCAAGGTGGAAAATATTATATTTTCTCTCTGAAAGAGCGGCGGACGATCTCCTCTTCTTCTCTATTATATTTATCAAAAGTGTGTGGCCATTATTATGCTAATTTTATTGGACTCCAGCTTCAGCAGGGCCGGACTGCGTTTTATTTACTGCCGGCAGCTTTTTATTATGTTCTTAATGTATGCTCGGATTCACGCATATAATATTCATGCATGCGCGTCCAAGACCGAAATGCTCCTTATTGATTGGTATGTGAACAACATGGATTACACGGGTTCGGATTTTTTTAAGAAGTGAGTGTGCGCTGGAAAAAGAGATTAATGTGTTGTACGTTTTGGGGCTTTTCTTTGAAATTTGTGCTTGGCATGACGCTCGGTTGCGGTAAAAAAGCCTTATGTGGTATTTGATACTTTGAGATTCTATTGGAAATAATTTTATTAAACTCTAAAAGCATTTCCACCCAGAACATAATAGTGTCTACAGAAGTCTAAACTAAAAAGAAAAACAATCAAAAAATCTCTTCATTAAAAACAGCGGCTCCTCTATCAGTCACTGAATTTGTCTTTTTGGTTATTTCTAATACGTCTCATTTCTCAACGTTCGGCTGATGTTGCGAAATATCTCAACGTTTGGCTGAATTAAAATATACTAAATAATAATTATACCGAATAGGTAACCATTTTATTTTTTAATTTCATTGCGTTGCGCTTTTAAGAAATTTAATTGGGTTTTGATTCAATTATACAAGTTGCAAGTCCTTAATTCAAATTTCATATCTAATTACTATCAACATTGTTTCCAATGGAAGCAAAAGATTGTGAGTTATTTTGCCATTCTCTGATAAATCCAAAAGTCTGCACTGATGAAAATATCGCAAGTGAATTTCACCGCGGCGGCATTAATTCAGCGCACGCCGCCACCAAACTTGATTAAAACCACCGCGTAGCCGAATTCAATTTTCGTCCCCGCGTTTGCAAATAAAAATCCGACTGCGAGTAAATATTACATTCGTTTTCGACTGTACCTGCGAATCCAAAGTTTTAACGTGGGAGAGCAGCGACGGAGGAAAATTACATTCTGTTTGTTTTCGAAAGGCTTTGAAGTGCTCTAGCTCGCGGTGGATATGCAAATGTTGGAAAATTCGATTGGTCGTAATCATGGCTGGGGTTTGTTGCGACGAGAGTGTGTGGTGTGTGAGCAATTTTGTTTGTATGCTCTGTGCTTTGGATATGCAATATCTAGTAACAAACACACACGCATTTCAATGAACTGCTATTGCGCATTACACGTCCCGCAAGATGATTTGCATACGTGCAAATTTACACATTTCTAGGAGGTATAGCAAACAAGTAAATACAAATATAGTATAAAGTCTTTATGAATATGGAACAGGTTACAGCGTATAAATGCGCTTGATGATTTTGCACTCCAAATATTTTGATCAAAAAATTAATGTACCTTACAAAATAAGTATAATTGTAATAATTGGGCTTTGTTAGGCTAATTTTAGTGTTGAAAATCATCTAAATTTTTATACAACCGAAGTGTATCACCTTACGAGTTGGAGAAAATGCAGGCTATAAAAAATCCCATATAATGGGAATAAATGAAAAGTAATAAATCAAAATAAACTATCGACTGAAGTTTGTGAATATGTGCGAATAATGTTTTTTTTCTGGAGTGATAATGCTTTTTAAATTTGAGAAAATAAGTTTTTTTAAATCTCCATCATGCATTTAATTTTAAAAAACATTACAGATACCTCGGGTCTAACGTCAACATAATTTAATTTTTTGATATAATTTATTAATTCTAATTTTCTTGCAATCTTCTATCAGGAAACTTCTATCCGTCTGTCTATGCAGAAACACATATTTCCATTTAAAATCCAGATTGAGTTATTTATAAGCTTCAAAAGTAGCTTAATCCATCAGAACCCCTTCCATAATTTTATCACCGATTTTTTATTTAACTCTCTGGCAATAATCAAATAAATGGCAAATTTCAAGAAACCAATTTTTTAGTTCTCATTTGTACTGATTGATTGATTTAGATTGAATTGATTTTACATAATATAATTATGTCGTGGAGATGGTGTGTGAGGATTTTTTTGTTTGCGCCAGGAGTTTCGGCGCCAAGTGCGCTAAGTGTTGCCGAGCCATCTCCGCGACGGACTGGGTGCGCAAGGCCCGCCAGCACGTTTACCACCTAGCATGCTTCGCGTGCGACGCCTGCAAGCGACAACTGTCCACCGGTGAGGAGTTTGCGCTGCACGACGGACGCGTCCTCTGCAAGACCCACTACCTCGACACCATCGACGGAGGCAGCACTTCCTCTGATGGTAAGCTGAACTGTGAGTGCGCATTTTTTCCAGACTTCCCTATTTAAAATCTCGCAAATTTTATAATTAAAGTAAATTTAAAAATAAAAAAGTTAAATTTATTAAATATTTTTTATGAATATTTGATTTTTATTACAGTTAGATTATTTATATTACATTTTTTAAGAGTTTGTTTTTATTCATTACTATTTAATTTTTACTTAAATAAATTTAGAGAACTTCAATGATCTGTAAATACTTTACACCCTGTACTTCCTAATTTACAATTAATAACATTTATTGCACAGACTAACTGAAGGATATTTACAATTTACAAATAAAAATCTGAAGATCTAATAAATTGTTTTAAAAATTGAATGTAATCAATGGAGTTGTATTAACAATGCAGACAAATAATATTTATTAAATGTTAAATTAAATTTTTATCAAATTTAATTAATAACCAAAACTATTCAGTTTATATATTATTTAACATTGAAGAAGAATTATAAACAAATTTCTTCTTCTCTTCTTTCTTTGGGAGGTTGAATTTCTTGGTACATGCACGGGTCGTGTCCTGCACTTTTGACTAAACAAGGCCCCCTGCGACTTGAATGCGATGATTGCGAGGTAAGGGGTCATCCCTTCGGTCTCCCGCTGCTTTCTCCCTTTTAACTCGCCGTGATTGCCGCCCCCGCTCGCTGCTGCTCATCGTCAGCCCCGAATTGATTTTTCCGTGCCCGTCGCAGTGCTGCATTTTCAGCACATGCTGACAATGGAGCTGCGATTATTCAATAAAAGCTGCAAATCCGAGTCAGCGCGTCCGTTGCGCCGTAATTAAATTAATGATTGCGTCTGCCCGGCAACTCTCGTGTTTATACATCCCTTCGCAAAAAGCAGCGCGGACAAATTAAGCGCGACTCTCATGATTATTCCGATATTTTCCGGCGACGCTTCAAATTGAGCGAAAAAACTGCGAGGCGGAGTGGAATTAATTCAATGACGCGTCGACCACGCTCCCGTCAGTGACTGTATAAAAATAATGATAAAGCTGTTGTCTAACATTTTAGAATCTCCTGAAATGCATAATTTCTTTATAATTAACAAAAGTTACACAAATTATTCATTACATTACAGAGCGTTTCAGGTCAAACGAAAATTCTACCTTTTTTTTTTAGAAAAATTTTAAATAAAAATCGTATCTTGAACTATATCCAAATTGTTTTTTAATTCTAGAGGGTGGCGATTCGGAGAGTTATCAGAAGAACAAGGCGAAGAGGGTGCGAACCACTTTCACCGAAGAGCAGTTGCAGGTGCTGCAAGCCAACTTCCAGCTCGACTCAAACCCCGACGGCCAGGACTTGGAGCGGATAGCGCAAATTACTGGCCTCAGCAAGAGGGTGACGCAAGTGTGGTTTCAAAACTCAAGAGCAAGACAGAAGAAACATCTACATACAGGGAAAATAAAGTCTAATTGTGAGTATTATTCGGGAAAAAGTAAATTAATGTATTTAAATTGATTTACTTCACAGACTTTTTAAAATAATTATTGATTTAAATTTTTTATGTCAATTAATAGTTAAGAAATTACGTCTTTTTAAAAATTGCCTTTAAAAATAAATTCAATGAAATTTTTTGGACATAAAATTAATCTTCCTCAAAAATTGAACTCCTTAAAACGACACATTTCACTTTTCCACTTTGTAGTATATTTGAGGGTTGATGCTGGCCCCGCCCTGCCAGCAAAAGAGCCCTTTGGCATGGGGTGTACGGCGCTCCTCCCTGTCACGTCCCTTGCAAATAAACGCGGAGCAATCGCGCGGAAACGGCCCCAGCAACTGTCCGCGCGCTGGCCCTCTTACACAGGCGGCTGCGCTTCAATAAAAACTTCCTGGCCCTGAATATAGATAACATATATAAAAAAAAATAATAACAATTGTAACAGAAACCGCTGCAGAAGAAAAATATTTTTATTAAAGTAAAAATTTCATTCATTTTGGCTTGGTTTGTTGCAGTACATCACCACTCAAATTCGCAGTTGCGCGACCAGGGAGAGTTGTCGCCGTGCTCGGGAGCTGTGCCGGGGACAGGGTACGGTCGACATATCAACCTACACCTTACCTACTCCTTGCAGCAGCAAAATAACAACAATAATAACAACAAAGGTGGAAATACGACACCCATCTTTAGTCCAAATGGTAATCACTGTTTTTCCAGAATTTTCAAATTGTTTAGTTTTTTGCGGTTTTTTGTTTCTTAATATTCATTACTTCCGTGGTGTTTAACAAAATCTAATTTATTTCTTGCTTGGACGCATCTGCGAAATGATGACATAAAAGTCAGCAACTGGCGCAACCTATTTGCAATGCAGGTTGCATACTCAATTTTATGCAGATTCAAGTTAAATTTAATGTTTTTGAATCTATATGTAATAAAAGTAACTTTGGGGTATTTTTATTCAAAATCTTCTTCATATTTCAGTTTCTGGTGAGACCTCGTCAATTGAAGACATGACAGACGACTCGCTTATGACCTGCATGAGAGGCGAAGTGTAAAAAAAAAAACGCGTCAGCAATGAGGGCAACTGTAGATTTACCAGGTAGAAGAAATACCACCTCTAGTTGTGGCTGCTGTTTCGTCTCCACGTGTACTTCACTACAGTGTGATAAGCCTGATGCTGAGATTTAAATCTTAAGAGACATTTCGAAGTTAAATAATTTATGTATGAACACTTCTACCAACTGATTGACAAATTTTAACTTGTTTTTCCATCGTGATTTGTGTCTGGCAACTATTTAGATCAACCCCTTTATTCTTCAGAATTTCTACCAAGATTTAGCACTTATCGAACTCTCGGATTGTTGATCAAGTATTAAAAGAATTTGTAATGGACGTTTACCTCAACTAATATGCATTATTGATAATTGGTGTAATTTCTATAAATATCTAAGATGGAAAATTAATGTCAAATCTAGTTAGAAGCAGAAAATACCCAACACAAATCTGTAAATAAAATCAGATCAATCCCGTTTTTCTGTGGGTTGCTGCGCACAAATTAATATCAATATATTTGCCAAAACACACGCAAGAGAGAAGCACACTTCAATGCCAAATCGATGTTCAACTTCTGTGCGAAATGGTGTATTTGAATAGTGATTATTAAATATTACGAGTACAAAAGGAGATAGAAATTTACAAGTCTGAATTTTAATGTCTACAAATATTCACTAATTATTATTTTAGTTATACAATGAACATACTACACAACCTCAAAATCGGTTGTAATAACCTACTTAATTTTCATCGGTGAAATCAATGCTAAAAGCTGCTGTGGAATCTGTAGCATTGGAAATGAGTTGCACTGCTCGTCCGTCTTGAGTGACCAATTGAAACTGGACTGGCGGAACGTCTTTAAGGGCACTTTTGTCACCTCCAGAGTCATCTTTGTCCTAAGAAAGCAATTCACGGAATAAAATTTTGATAGAAAATATTAAAAACTAAGTACTTTTAAGAAATCGGATGTGTTGGGTATGTGGGCAACAAGCTGCCCGTCCTCCACTGCCAGGGTCACAGGCAGACTCATTCCATCATCTCCGGACTGCATTTGCAAAGTAGCCCCAGGAGCATCGACGGTTTCGGCCAACTGAATTAAATTATAAATATTTGAAATTGAATGAGATAATTTCACAAATTCACCTGTAAATCAGTCTGTTCCGGCACAACCATGGGAAGATCCCCGCCTAAGGTATTCAGAACAACTTCTTGGCCGTCTTCGGTGCTCAAAACTAAACCAGTTGGCTCTCCCTGAGAAATATCCATTTTATGCAGATTTTTCACTTAAATGTCACTAAAAGAAAAAATTCTTACCTGGGAAATTTGTTGTAGAACAGAAGTAGCTTCCGAAACACCTTCAGTTTCAACATTGGCACTGATTTCATTTGCCGTTCCTGTCTGCTGGTTGTAAGCAACATAAATAACAGGAACGGTTCCATCTTCGTCTTCCTCTCCCATGAGTTGCAAAACCATTCCTCCTTCTCCACCGTCCACTTTTAGTCCATCCTCAGGCAGTCCACGATGGACCTTGGCAAAATTGAAAATAAATATAAATTAACTTCGGAAGAAAAAAATTTATACTTTTTTGTGTTTGTTCAGATTTGAGCAGTCTGCAAAGGCTTTGTTGCAAATTTCGCAGACGTACGGTTTTTCACCAGTGTGGATCCGCACATGCTTTCGAAGAGCCCAGTGTTCAGTGAAACCGCGTTGACAATATTCACAAGAGTATGGTTTTTCACCCTTGTGTCGACGGACGTGACACTTCCACGTGTCCTTGTGCAGGAATGTCTTGGCACAGAAGTCACATTTCCAAGGGCGCTCACCCGTGTGCCTCTTCACATGGAGTTTGAACTAAGAGTTGCATGTTTAGTATACTTTTTAGAAAAAAATTCAACAAATACCTGAGACGATGTTGTGAAGCTGCGGCCACAGAAACTGCAAATGTATGGCTTTTCGCCTGTGTGTATTCTCAAGTGCTCCTGAAGGTTCCCATTCTGCGAGAAGTTCTTTTTGCAAAACTTACACTGGTACGGTTTGTCGCCGTTGTGCCAGCGGTGGTGCAAAACAAGGCTGGTTTTGTGCGCAAACTGCTGACCGCACAGGTCGCAGAAGTATTTCTTTTCACCGGTGTGAATGAGCATGTGATTGGTGAGATTGGCCTTGGTTTTGAATGACGTCGTACAAAGAGTGCAAATGAATGGTCTAGAACAATAATTATAATTAAAATTATTTGAATTTATATATTTTCTGTTTTGACCTATTAAATAATTTGGAGGAAAACATTGTAAGTACCTGTCCTCTGTGTGGACCAACTGGTGCCTCTGCAGTAACTGTCGATGCTTGAATGTCTTGTCGCACTTGTTACATGCAAATCGGACACCTTCGTTATGTTCCGCCTCTTTGTGGTAAAAAAGAGAACTCAGGTGCTGGAATTTTTTTTCACACAGGTTGCATGCATGAGGGCCTATTTGCTTTCCATCTGCGCTTTCAAGCGACTCGTCACCTTCTTTTACTCCCTATAAATTATAGATGTTTAAATTAACTTGCGATTTAAAAATATGTAATTTCTCACATGAGTTTCATCAAGGTGTTTTCCCAAACTTCTAGGAAAGGCAAATGCTTTTGGACACTTGGTGCATTTGTAGGGTTTCAAACCCTCGTGGACCGCTTTCATATGGACCTGAATAATTTCATCAAACTTAAGAAACAAGAACAAAAATACAAATTACCATCAATGTTTTAAGAGATATGAATGTTTTTTGGCAAGCAGGACAACTCACTTCCTGCCCTTCCTGGCCCTCGGCAGTTTCTGCATCTAGAGCCGAATCAACTGACACGAAGTCCATGGGATCCATGATTTCTAAAATTTGCAATTTCTATTGGTATGTATAGAGAGAGCTTGAACCTCACCTTCAATCACATCATCCTCTTTATTCTTATCGAACTCCAAAATCCCTTCATGGCCAGAAGAGGCTTGATGTGCCAGTGCACATGTCTTGTCATAGAATTTGGAATTGCACATTCCACACACAAACTTCCAGCCGTGCTCTTGCACTCTAGAAAAGAATAAAAAAACTAATATAATCTGATAATCTGGTTACCATCAAATTACTTGTGCACTTGGAACAGCTTCCGATTTGCAAATGACTTTTTGCAGATACCACAAGTGAGCAGCTTCCTCTTTGGCTTGCCTATTGGGCGCTCCTCCAAATAATTCTTGGACTTAGTCAAGACAACCAATTCTCCCAAGTCCGTGCCATCTTGCGATACAGTTCGCCCGATAATTTCAGTCACTTTTAATTTCTCTAAAAGCAACTTGGTAAGAATTCTCTGCTCCAATTTTTTTTTTTTTTTATTATAATCATACCAATTTGTGCAGGATTCTCTGTAAAGAGCTTCTCTTTTTCGTCTTCGTCAATGACTCCATGCTCTTTGAAAATACGGTCCATCTCAGGGCCAGCCACAGACTCCAGATATCTATATATGAGCAAATATTTTAAGTTTTTTTTAAGTGTATGTATAATCCAATACCTTTGTGGGACTTTTCTTCTTCTTTTGACTCTGCCATCAGCATCTACTTCAACTTCAGGTTCTTCAGGACGGGGTGGTGGTGCAGGTTCTTGAGCAACTTCTTCTTGCTTCCTGGGGCGACCTCGCTTTTTCCTCGGCTTCTCCAGCCCTTCAGCTTGCAGAGACATTGGGTCGTCATCGGGGTAGAGTGCCTCTTTTTCGTTGGGAACGGCTAAGGAATATCAGAAATAAGAAAAAAATCTTGATTGATTCAAGGCTTCATTTACTGATCATCATGTAAATATTTCCATCTTCGCCCTCAACTTCGGGAATGCTGGCAATGCCAATAGCCATTTTTCTGTCACGCTCCTTCTGTTAAATAAACAAAATGTTTTGTAGATTCTTTAAAAATATGAACATCAAAACCATTCACACCTGTTTGGAGAGCAGAATCCTAATTCTCTTCTGGCCCAAAATAAGCAAATCAAAAAACTGTACAGTTGCTTGGAGCTGAATGTGGCATCCCGGGCATATGGTTCGCGGCAACCTTCCATCGTCTTTAACCTGAAGGTAAATTAAATTTTGCAATATGAATTAGGGAACGGCACAACTTAAATCGCAGGGGCTCTAAAAAATAATTACCTTTACGGGTAAATATCTGTTTATTAATGTGTTCAACGCATTCTCTTCATCTTCAGAATTGTAGAGAAGCTCTCCATTTGAGTTTCTTTCCCCACACAGTCGGCAAAAGTCCGAATTGTATAGCGTGTTGTCCGAGTAGAGGAATTTCGAACTCATTTTTAACTCTTCATCTTCATCGCAAATTCGACTGAAATTAACGTAAAGAGGTTTCTTCCGTTTTTACATTACCCTCACAATTTGTTTGCAATATTTCAATGTTTATATTCGTGCTCCAATCAAATCACTCGGATTTAGTGGAGCGAAATTCAAAACGTTTACAGGCTAAACAACACAATTTAAATGAAATCTTAACTTTTAATTTTAAAATTAAAAATAATGTAGCTATCTGAAGGAAAATAATAAATAAGCTAAGCTAAATCCTAATAAATGAAACTAGGAAAAGGCAGGTGAAATCAACGAGCTACATAAAAGCCTATGTGGAATTACTTGAATGAAATCCTTGTTAAGTTGGTAATACTTTTTGCGAAAAGTTTTCACTCAGCCGGCTGGCGGGGCGGAGCACTTGTCGTGACGTGAGACGAGTTTTGGCACGCATGGTGTTGGTTGGAGAACTGCTCGCAAAAGCAGCGTGGTGACTGCGAATTTGCTTAGTCTGGTGGACGGTGTGCTCTGGTGAGCGTAGTCGGCCGTCGAGAGCGCATGTTGGCTTCGATTCCAATTGAATTGCTGTCGGAGTCTGTAAGCAGAGCCGTCGCACTTTTCATCTCGTCGGCGGAGACGATCATTTGCTCACCTTCTCGACGAAATTTCACACGAGCTGCATTCATGTCTGGCAGCAATTTCGGGCCGCGCAAGTTTTACTCGCTGCCCGAAAACTACAAGGGCGGCGAGTCGCAACCCAAAAAGTGCCATGACACCAACAAGCTGATCCAGTACATCGACCAGAACGTCGTCGGCAAGGACACGACGTTCAATGGACCCTACGGAGGACGAAAGGGTGAGAAACTTGAATCTGTGCCAATGGGTTAATTGCTTAATAATTACCTACTGAGCACCTATATTTAGGACACAAATTTGACAATGTCATCTAAAATATATTTATTCTCCAAAATATTTATAATTTTGCAATTCGGTTCCCCTAAGAAAATACAGCTTAATTTATCAATGATATTAATTAATATTAATTTAAATGTTTTTAGTTTACTTTTTCAGCTAAAGTTTAATCAAATACTTGAATTTGGAACACACAAGCACCTTATGTGGAATGCCTAAATCTTTTTTTTTTTTTTTTAATAATCATCGCATTTATTTAAACGCAAAATTAAAAAAAAGTAAATTACCAGATAAAAGTATAGGTTTTATGTACAAACTTAGTTGTTACGTACTGATAACTTTAAACTTTTCGGTATTACTTTTGAAACACAATTTTTATGGAAGATGGTTTTTTTTAATTATCATTTAAAATTAAAACCAAAAGATGATTTCTTTAGATTTTTACTTGCACTGATATATTTTGCCACTGGCACTGTTTCGAAATATGATTTTATTGACCTAAACTCTCATTTTCTTATGCAAACTTGTGATTATTTTTTATCTTTCTTGGCTATTTGATAATAATATTTAATTAAAATTAATGCACCAAAAACTTACTGTTTGGGTCTTTTGCTAGTTTAATTAATTATTTGAACGTATATCATTTATAAATAGTTCACATTATTTCATCTATTTTTTTACGCACCAAAATATTTAGTATGGAAGCGCTTTTTTCTAGCGAATTTTCCCGAATCATTATAGAGGAACTGGATCTAAAGAAAGGAAGAAATTTAAAAATTATATTTATTAAAATATGGTTCCATCAATAATCTTGTTAATTAATTTAGAATCAACAAAATATTTTATGTAAATTATTTTGTGCAAGAGTGTTGACGCAGAATAATATTAATTTATAATGAATAGAGAATAAATAAATAAATGAATAAAGAAAAAACAAACTGAATGCAACGTAGCAACACTCCATATTTTCAACATTTCAAGGCGGCCTGCAAGTGCAACGCATTAATTGTGCATATTGCTGTGCACACATAGCAGGAAGCTCTTCTCACATTAAACGCGGCAGCACTGCTGCATCTGAAAGTACTTGCGATTGCGGAATTTTCCACACGCCACAGCACGCCGCGCATATACTGCGAAGAAAGAGATGAGGAATCGAAGGCAAATCATAATATTAATAAATATAAATAATGCAATTCATTGCATAATCTAGGAAATAAAAATGTGCCGGCAAACAAGTTGAGTTCAGAATAAAATGATAAAACGGCGTAAAGTCTCAAGAGCCTTGATTAATAGCCAGTTAATTTATTATTGTTTTTTTTTTTTATTTATTTAAAAAACATGGCATTATTATTGCAAAGAAAAAAATTTAATATTTATTTTAGATGCTTTTTAGGTGTCTTTTTCATCTTTTATGGCTTCCCAGTAAAAAAGTAAATGCAAATATTGAGGTCAAAAGCACCCCCCATCATTTTATTTAGCCAACTTGTTTAGAATAGATTGAAGCCACTTCTGAGGAGGTCTGCACAGAAATTATTAGATAACCTAAAAATTTGACCCAGACAAAATTTAAATCAATGGCGCTGACCATAACTGAAAATTAAACCCAATGAAAAAAATCAATATTATCAAAAATTATTGTTGGACTACAAGAAAAATAAGCACAAATTATTTTGATTTTTGATAGCAAGTTATTTTTGCTACTCTACCATTCTTAGTTGATGGTTATTTACATTAAGATGACTCTAATTATTCTGAAATAATTTTGAAATTAAAAAACTCAATTGTGGCTCCTCATCAGAATTTTAAATAAAAAACTATAATTATGGGTCAAGTAAGATTGCTTGATTAATTACACCCAATAAACTTCAATTCACAGTAAACAATTCTAAAAAATGTCACTTGATCTGAATTTAAAAATATTTTTACCTTAATCGCTTTAATGTTCTCATTTGAAAATGATGAACGTTCAAATTTGATTGTTTCATGATTCTGAGAAGGCCTATGTGGGGAATTGAGCCCAAGGCTGAATTTACCAGAAAACAAGAAAATCCACCTGATTTCAAGAATAAGAGGTTGAAATAAAAATTTTCGTCGGCATATATCTTTGGAGCGCTCGAGAATCAGAGCATAAATTATAAATGCCGACTAACTAAAGTCAACAAGGAAAACCTGTTTGTTTTTACAATTCAAAATTCCACTGGGAGGGAAAAGTAAATAGAAATGCATATTTTATGACGCAATCGAATGCTCTAAATAAATTTTATTGACGAGCTCATCTTGATTGTGTTTCAGTTGTGTACTGCGATTACACGGCGTCCGGCCGGTCGCTCAGTTTCATCGAGCAGTTCATCTTGAGCGAGGTGCTGCCCTGCTACGGCAACACCCACACGACGACCTCCACGACCTCGCTGCAATCCACTCTCTTCAGGTGTGGCATTGAACCGATTTTATTGTTCCCAATGAACCTTTCAGCCATCCTCAAGTTTAGACTTTCAAGCTCCCAACTGCCTGAGGGCAATTTGCATGGAATGTGAATTACACAATAGCTCTCTTTATTATGCAATTTAGGTCATTTTTCAATTAGATGCAAAATGCGTCTTGCCAACACTTATGGATCTTGCCCACAACACTTTAATCGGGACCATGTGAAAATTAATCTCTTATTTTGCATCTGCTGCTTTTTTAATTGTTTCATCCCTGGTCAAGGCCATGAAAGGTTAATTGACGCAAGCAGTGTCTGCTCAAACCAATGACACTGGCAGCAGATGGCATGTGGCCACTCAATCAAAGAATGTATCATGTGAAGATGTGGAAAAGTTATTCATGTGCAATTGTATTGAAGCGAAAAATATTTTTTTAAATGCAAATTAATTTTTTTTTTCTCGTCACACTGAATATATTTTATGAAAACTGAAGCTATGTTTTTCTCTTACATAAATATTATGAGCAGCTCTTTCACTTTACTTTATAAGGAAAAAATTCAAAATCAGCTGAAGAGCAGCGATTCCCAATCGGTTAATTTTGACATGATTTTCTTTCCAAATTATCCAGCTGCCTGTTATTCTGAAAGAGGTGTTCAATTACACTTGGTGTGGGTCGTTTACGTACTCATTTATGTGGCCGCGCATTAATGAACTGCATAAATGAAATCAAAGCATGTGATGTGAAAATAACCTGAACCATTAAACATGTAACACAACACCTTTATACCCTTTATTGACGGGCAAAAAAATTTAATTTTAATTTTAAACTTATTAATTCATTAGCCAATATTAATTAACAGTGTGAGTTTTTAGCTTTGAACTTCTTCAATTATCAAAATTTTCAATTTCTTTAGATGTAAGCAGATTTAAGTTTGCTTTCTGCATATGAATAAAACAAATTCAGCCAATTACAAGAAACATGCAATTACTGGATGAAACCCCCTAATTATATCCTCTCGTTTTTGCAGACATGAGGCTCGCGATATTTTCCGAAATGCAGTCAACGCTTCGGAGCACGACGCAGTTATTTTCGCTGGAAACGGGTGCACTGGGGCCGTCCACAAGCTCATCCACGCGCTCAACTTGCAGGTGCCGCCGATTGTATTTGTCGGTCCTTGCGAGCACCACTCGAATCTCCTTCCATGGCGCGAGATCGGCGCCAAAATCATCAGGATACCAGAGACCAAGGATGGTTTTCTCGATTTGGACAATCTCAAGTGCCAACTAGAGGCCCACTCTCAACTGAACCAGCAAATGATCGGCTGCTTTTCGGCTGCGTCCAACATTACTGGCGTCATGGCTGATGACGTCGCCACAACCCTTTTGCTACACCAGTTTGGAGCGCTCGCTTTCTGGGATTATGCTACTGCAGGTTTGGAGCTATTTGTTTATTTCAATTTTTTAAGAGCCGTTTTCTATAATATACAAGTAATTTTGATCATAAATAAATTTACGATTATTAATGTAAAATATGTAAATCAGATATAAATTGCAGATTTAATTAAATTCAATTTTTAAAATTAATTTATTTTGAATTTTCAGATGTACTGTGTTAATATAGGAATATTAATTTAAAATTTCATATGATTTTAGCTCCTTACGTCAAAATTGACATGAATCCATTGCTGCACGGTGCTGGTGAGAGCTCTGTTAACAAAGACGCAATTTTCTTCTCAGTCCACAAGTTTGTTGGAGGAGTACAAACACCAGGTAATTTTAACTAAATAAGTTTTTCAATAAAATCTCTAATCTTTGTCATAACCAGGCGTCCTAATTGCAAAGAAATCATTGTTCAAAAACAAAACACCAAACGGCTGTGGTGGAGGAACAGTTTTTTTTGTTTCCAGAGATGATCATAAATACCTCAAAGTAAGATATTCATTCATTCTCAAAGAAAAAAAATACATTAATGTAGGCTCAAGCTTTTAGAATTTGTAACAGAAATTAATTATTCCAGGACGTTGAGCTCAGAGAAGAGGGAGGCACGGCTGCAATTGTCGAGTCGGTGAGAGCCGGTCTGGCAATGCAATTGAAAGAAAGCGTTGGCGTGCAAGCAATTATGGCCAGAGAAGAGCAAATCGTCAAGTGGGTGTAAATGATAGAGGATTGAATCACTTTTGATTTGTTTTTCTCTCTTTTAGAAATGTACTGGCGCACATTAAAACGGTGCCCGAGTTGTTGTTGTTAGGCCCTCTTACCCACTCATGCAATCAGCGTTTGGCCATTTTCTCATTTATGGTCCGTCATCCTCGAGGGACGTTTCTGCACCATAACTTTATCTGCACAATTCTGAATGATGTGTTTGGAATTCAGGCAAGAGGCGGTTGTGCCTGTGCTGGGCCATACGCGCAAGACTTGCTAGGAATCAATGAAGACCTTGCAAAGAAATACGAGGACATATTAATAGAGGACAGGTTGGTTTTATTTAAATTATTCTTAGCGTATTTAGTATTTATGTTTGATTTTAGCCGACTGGATAGAACGCATTTGAGGCGGCAAGAAGAACATTCCAATTATGAGATGCTGCGCCCTGGCTTTGCTCGAATAAGTCTTCCATACTTCATGAGTGACAACGAAGTGGCTTTTGTCTTGGAGGCCCTGAAAATGGTTGCGTTGGAGGGATGGAAACTTCTGCCCCAGTACATTCTGAATCCAGAAACTGGCGAGTGGCGGCATCGATCAAATTTAGTGTTCAAAGACCGACGCTGGCTGGGCAGCATAAACTATGTGGGGGGCCAAATGAACTACTCTGATAAAAAAGTGGCCAACAATGCATTAGCTGTGCCTGAGGATTACTCTCATATTCTGCAAACGGCCAGAAATATTTTTGGAAAAGCACGAAAGGTTGGCTTTTTAATTTCTCTACAAAACCAAAGAATGATGTTTACATAATATGACATTTTTCTCTCTTTTTAGATGGCTCAGCAGTACGCTATTGCTGATCAGAGCATCTTGTTTGATGAGCACGCAGAAAAGCTGCGGTGGTTCATGCTGCCGTGTGAAGCACAGGATTTGCTTTTGGGACACTCCCAGAACGTCAAGCACTTGGTGCCATTCGACCCAGTGAACTACGAGGGATCTCGATCTAGTCCAATACCACCGCCCAGAATTATTGAACCGCAAGATTCAGTGGAGAGCAATAGTTCTGTAAATTTTGAAGTAGGAGGCTCGGTGGACCCTAGCAATCTCACTTTGCAACACACACTGTGCATCGAACAGAGCTTCAACAACTGCACCTCACTTGACTCGTCCACTGTAAGTCCGCTGCCCAATTTGTTGCTAAACCAGAGGAGTTGCTGCAGCCAGACAGACTTGTTAAATATGGGTGCAAAAGAAAATTTTGTGCAAAGCACTGAAGACATCAAGGCCTACGTGCAAGGCGTTACCAACGAGATAACCCAGGAAATCAAGTCTGAGATAAGAGAGGTCATCTGTCAAGTGCAGGATGTGCTTCACGAATCTGAATCAAACGAGTGCTTGCCTGAAATGAGACCAAGATCTGGATCTTTGTCGCTCAAGTCTGCAGAAGACGTTGCCGAGTACTTGGTAGAAGCTTCACAAAAACTTGCCTCGGAGATGAAATCGGAGCTTAGAGAGGTCGTCAGTGCAGTGGATTTGCTTATAGCTGAAGAAACTGGAGAATTGAAAAGGTCTTCATCCCAATCTTTAAACTCCTTAAACCATTTCAACTTCCCTGAGCAATCATTGATGAGATCCTTCAGGAAACCGAGAACGTTTAGCTCTCCAGCCCCAAGAAGCCCTTTGTGCAATTCACCAGTTATTGACGACTGTAATTAAAAATAGATTAATAATCTTTTTATGTTATATTAAATTTGTTATTGTAGGCTTGGATGGTCCAACTGTGATAGAAAGTGAAAGCACAAGCAAGGAACAAGAATCGAATGGACTGGAAAGCAATGTTAAAGTCGGCCAGGATTTGAATCAAGCAGTGAATTCCTGCAGTATTAATCGGAAAATTTCGGTAGCCTCAACAAGGTGGTTCTGCCCTCCGAAACAAATCTGGAAGCCCACAGTTGAGGTTGTTGCATATTTTAATTTTGATCACGAGGAATATAGCTAATGAGGAAAAAAAACAGGCTATCAGGGAGTTTGGAATGATTCGGCCCGGTGACAGGGTGCTCGTCTGCTTATCTGGAGGCAAAGATTCTCTCAGTTTGCTGCACACAATTCACCAGTACCAGTTCTATGCTCGTTCTAAGAACATGGACTTTGAATTTGGAGCCATCACTGTTGACCCGCAAACGTCAAGCTACGACCCACGACCTTTGATTCCGTACCTCCAATCTTTAGGTGTGCCATATTTCTATGAAGAGCAAAGTAAGTGAATGTCAGTCAGCTAAATATAAAAAATTAAAAACATTTATAATGTTAGGTATTTTGGACAAAGCCACAGAGTTGAAAAACATGGACGCTTGCAAATCAATATGCAGCTTTTGCAGCAGGATGAAGCGGGGGCGAATATACGCAGCTGCCAGACGAGAGGGTTACAATGTGCTGGCGTTGGGTCAGCACTTGGACGACTTGAGTGAGAGCTTCATGATGTCAGTTTTTCACAATGGCCGTTTGAGAACCATGAAAGCCCACTACAACGTCAAGTGATTATTTTTTCAATTTTTCGAGCTTGAAATTTAATTCAAATTCTAGGGAAAGAGATTTGAGAGTGATTCGACCATTTGTGTTTGTCCGAGAGAAAAATCTGAGACAGTTTGCTGAGAGCAAAAAGTTGCCTGTGATCAAGGAAAACTGTCCTGCATGTTTCGAGGCCCCCAAAGTAAGTTGCGTCATTTTTTTGCTGCCAAGTGTTTCTTAAATTTGTTTATTTCCAGGAGAGGCACAGAACCAAGCAGCTGCTTGCTCAACAAGAGATTCTGTTCCCTAAACTCATGTGGAGCCTTAGATCAGCCATGATGCCCTTAATGAGTGTGCACAACACTGGTGTTGAGAGTAAACTTTTTTCGTCGCATTTGAAAAAGAATAGTGTTAGCTCGGATGAGAGTGAAGATTCGCAAGCTGCAGATACCAGCTGATCCTTTTAAAATGAATTTACCAGACTTCCTTCTTGATCTTTATAAATATGTTTCTGATAAACCAAGGAAGCAATGATTTTTTGTTAATAAAAATATAAACTAAAAATCTTCCATGTGAAAAATTTCAATATTTTTATTCTGCTTAAATTTCTTTGTCAAACAAAAAACTTTCTTGATTCAATAGCATAAATTATTTTTCAAACAATTTCAGCTTTGCAGGGTGTCATTGGAATCTCTACAGCTTTCTGTAATTCCATCTAAACGTCTGTTAATTTTTTCTATCATTTCTTCCATTTGCTTAAACCTCATGTCAATGTGATTCATCATGTTGACTTCAAATTGCTGCAACTGCTTTGAAATACTAATTTTCGTTTCCTGCTCAGCATTCTAAGATATTATTGAGCACATAAGATCTTTTTCATTAACAAATATAAAAAAAAGTTTTAATTACCTGATGGAAGCTTGGCTGACTAAAGACAACTGCTTTGAAATTTTCTGCGCTTTTCGACAAGGGTACTTTTGAATCTTGCAAAATGCTTTCAACTCGTTTAGCAAGAGATTCAACTTCCGGTGATGACACACAAGGTTCCAGAACAATGCCCATTCCTAAAAGCCACATTTCCTTTTTCCCATTGGTTACTCCGGCAAACTGATAACAAAAAACAGCTAAGTCAGCTAACATAAAAATTATGTGCAATACAAAAAAATTATTACCCTAATCGAACATTTTCTGGAGGGAGTTCTTAAGGGAAGTTTAGCCCTATAAACTTGCATTTCATCGTCATCTTCTCCTTCCAAAGTATTAACAGCATTAGTTGTGCTTTCGTATTCTCCTAATCTTCCAAACACCTCCAATATTTTAGCCTAAATTATATCAAATATCAAATAAACTTAGAATTTCATTGCCAAAATAAATTTACGATGGATTGCATTTATTTCTTAATACCATAATATTTTTTGAAAAATAAATTTAAATAATATCACCAACGTACCTCTGAGACTAACCAGACACCTTTTATCACATGACCAGGATTGACCACGTCGATGAAAATTTCAAGTGGGCCAGTTGCTTCGTCTTGCTGGGAAAAAGCGATGCAAGAGTCCAAAGAGACGATCTCGTCAATTTCAATACTGAAATGGGAAAAAAATTATTTTGATAAAAATCTATCAGAATTTAAATCAATATATGAACCTGCTCGATGGGTTGAAAACTGTTACAGCATTTTTTATTTTCTTTTCGTTGATAATTTTCCAGTTGTAAGTGATGTTGATTTCGTCTAAAATACCTTCCATGGTGAGCGTCAAAAGTTCAATATACGACGAGTTCACAAAGAATGTGAATGTGAGTCATTGCAATAATTACATTTACATTTAAGTTTTAAGTGATGTATGTTCTGACACACATCACCCACACAGACGTACGACTTCTCCTGTCAAAAGAGAAATTTGTTTGTTTAGTGTTTACGTTTTTTCATAGGTTGGCATTGCGGTATGTAGGTCACGTTGGCAGCTCCGAGATCAGAGATGAACCACGCCCCCATACTAACGAGACGGGAGTAACGAGATAAACGAGACGATAATCTGAAATTAAAAGTTAATCACTTTGAGTTTTTCTCATTTCATTGAACATCAGAGGACGCTGAGGCAGTTGTTTGGTTAATTTTCAAGAGGTGCGTTTCAATCAGGTTATAATCCTAATTTTATTATAAACAGGACGTGCCAATAAAAGCCGAGCAAAATGAGACGTCGAGCTGGTGTTGGTGCAATCCACAAGCAAAAGCTGGAGCAGGAAAAATACAAGGGCAAGGGTTCGGAGATCCAAGAGTCGCAGCTCGAGCAGTTGTCCAAGCAGATGGAAGTTTTTAGGGCCAAACTAGAGGAATTCGCGGGCAAGCACAAGAACGAAATCAAGAAGAACGCTGAGTTTCGACGCCAGTTCCAAGAAATGTGCGCCGCCATCGGGGTTGACCCGTTGGCCTCGAGCAAGGGCTTCTGGTCCGTGTTGGGCATTGGTGACTTTTACTACGAGCTGAGCGTGCAGATCATCGAAGTCTGCCTGGCGACCAACTACAAGAACGGAGGATTGATCAGCATGTCCGAACTGGTGCAGCGCCTGATCAGGTCTCGAGGCAGAAGGGCGCAGGAGATCACCGTCGATGATGTGCTGAACGCCGCCAAGAAGTTGAAAATCCTCGGAAATGGCTTCTGCATCCTCACCATCGCACCCGGACAGTATTTAGTACAGTCCGTCCCTGGAGAGTTGACCATGGACCACACCACAGTGCTGCAGAAGGCGTCCGGCTCGGGAAAGACGAGCGTTGAAGAACTTTGCCAGACGCTTAAGTGGGACAAGGAAAGGGCCGAACGTACCCTGAATTACATGCTGAAGGAGGGACTGGCTTGGATCGACACGCAGGAGGGTCGCTCCTTCTGGTTCCCGAGTCTTTTTGCTGGCTGCGCCCAAGCAGCCTGAATTGTCATTCAAAGGGTTAGCAGTAACTTCTACCATACCCTAGTTATTATTAGATTAAAAAACTTATTTCACAGAAATTAAATAATTATTTTTAATGTTTGTTTCAGATGACTGAATTATGGTGCCCAATTTTGCCCGACTGCTACCTATCATGTACAGTGCCCCTCTTACATGCCTACGTCTGCAACATAAAAGACCCGAAAATGACAGGCAAGGTTATACAGCTTCTCAACTCTAAATACCCAGAACCAAATCTGAGCCACCTCAAGAGGGTCAACAGCAATAAAAAGGAAGGAAAACTGCAGGTGCTGCTGACAGACGACAAACACAAACTTGATGAGATTCTGCAGAGTTTCTCTTCCGTTGGTATCTTGATCGACGATCCTTCTTATGTCCAAGTGCCTGCCGAAAGTGGAAAAACTAAAGAGCAGCACCTGTTTGCCATGACCCTGTGGCCAGTGGCTGTTTTCACGGCAGACAAGTATTTGGAGAGTGTCCTCGAGGGAAAAAACTTTTCTTTCGAGCAGAGGAAAGAAATCGAAAGACTGATGGGTGTTGCTCTGCAAGCAGCCGAGAAGAGCAGGAAGTTGGGCGGAAAAGGTGTTGGGGCGGTGGTGGCTTTCAGAGGGGAAGTTTTAGGGGTTGGGTGTGATGCGAGGAACAAACATCCCTTGAAACATGCAGCCATTGCCATGCTGGACATGGTTTCGTGGGTTAAACATGGCCAGAAAGATGAGGAGCGACCTGAGTGGGCCGGAGATGACCTAGTCGAGTGCCAGGCTCAAGTTCTCAAGTCTCCAAAGTCCTACTTGTGCACTGACTACGATGTTTACCTCACAAGGGAGCCTTGCACTTTTTGCGCCATGGCTCTTTTGCACAACCGCGTCAAGAGGATTTTCTACGGCTGTCCTTCTGAGGAAGGTGCTTTAGGGACCAGAGAAAAATTACACACACTGCCTGGCATAAACCATCGCTATGAAGTTTTTGCAAATGTGCGAGGAAAAGAATGTGGTGAACTGTTAACTAAGTGTGAAATGAAACACAAATGTTTTTCTTAAAATTGGATTAAAACTGCTAAATAAATTAATATTTTTAATACGCTGATTTTTATTATTCTTAGTTTAAGGAAGGCTGAACTCATATAGAATAGACAAGATTTCATTACCATTTACAAAGTATGTTGATCATTATTAAGGCGCTTGTAATTAGATCATAACATTCATTCTCACTTGTCAGCAATAATTTTAGTTCATTTTAATAGTAATTTGAAGGTGCTAAGATTATATCACATTTGCTTAGCATTCTAAAGTGTCGTTTCGGACTTGTGGGTTCGCTTGACATGCACTTTCAGATTACCCGCCTGGGTGAAGAATTTTCCGCACAACTCGCAGCCGTACTTTTTAATCCCAGTGTGCGTGAGGAGGTGCGCATTCAAAGCATTCTTTTGGTTGAATCTCTTTTCGCACAAGTTGCATGGGAAGGGCTTTTCGCCGCTGTGGATTCGCATGTGCCGCGTCAGTTGGCTCGGCTTGTTGAACGACTTGCCACAAACCAGACATGATTTGCCGTCAGGCTCCTTTGGCTGTGGCACCTCGATATTGGAGCCAGCAATTTCACCAATGAGCTGCTGCCCGGTTATGTCTGAAAACACTTCAAATCTGATGAAACCGTCCGAGTCGGAGGGGTAGAGAATGAAGTTGCCCGAGTGGACTTGCTGAATGATGTTCTCGTCGAGTTGGAGGAACTCGGACGACTCCATGTTGATGGGAATGGGAATTTGAACATCCGTCTGGTCTTGATCCTGGTGCAAAGTGGAAACCGCTTCTTCCACCTCCATGACCCCATCTGCCTCAGGTTCAAGCTCAGGTTCTTCTTGAATGCTGGGCAACCGGTTCAAAGCAACCTCCTCTTCGGGTGCACTCTTCTTGTTAAGTGCTTTATGAGCAGCAGAAATGTGCGCCTTTCTATGACCAGAAGTCCGGAAACTGAGAGGGCAGTGCATACACTTCAGAGGCCGTGCACCTGTAAAAAAGTTAATATCACATAAAAAACAAAACAAGCCAGAATCAAACCTGTGTGTATTCGCATGTGGACTCTGAGAGAACCCTTGCTGGAGAATTTCGCTTGGCAAATGTGGCAGGGCAATGCTGCAGTAGCATGCTTTTTGTGGATTTGCCAGTGTGCAACTAGGGTTGATCTGACTGCAAATCCTTTCCCACACTGTGAGCAAACAAATGGTTTCTCGCCTGCAATAAATTTGTTTTAGCAAAAAATTTGAGTGGGAAAATTGTCTAATAGTGCCTGTGTGTGTTCTCAAATGCCTTATGAGGTCGGAGGGCTTTTTGAAGCTTTTTGGGCAAAGGTGGCAGCGATTAATATAGCTTGATGAACTTTGATCCTCAGTTGTCTAGAAGAAGAAAACTTTTAATCATGTAATTATAATAATGCAATAATTATAAACCTCTAATTCATCTTTCACAGTTACTTCCTTCAGGCTTTGGAGAAAAACATTTTCGGACACTGAAGTTTTTGGACATCCAATCAAAGACTAAAATTAAATTTTCTTTTAATTCCACCAGCAAAGAACTTAAATAATAATATACCTTTGCCATGTCATTAGCCTCCTCTAAGGTTAACCTTCGCGCCATCTCTTTCTTTTGTAATGGAGATATTTCTTCTAGTCCCTCTAAATCTGCTATTTCTTCTTTGGGGAGAACCTTAACACGAGACTTCAGGATTGATCTTGAGTGGGCGTGCATTTTATTTATGTGTGTCTGTAGTTGCTTTGGTTTCTTGAAAACCGAGCAGCAATGTACGCACTTATATCTGCAAAAAGATAAAATATTTAAATAATTACAACAAATGATAAGATTCTCCCTACACTTCTGATGATGAGTTATGGGCTTCATGCAGAACAGAAATATGACCTCTCAAGTTCTTTTCAGTTTCAAACTTTTGGTCGCAGTATTCACAAACAAATGAGTGCTCCTCGTCATAGTGCAGTTTATACGTTTCATTATCCATGAAAATTTTCTTGCAAATGTCACACCTAAAATTATTTTGTAAGACACATTTTAATGATTTAATTCAATATTTTTTACGAATATTGCGCAAGGTCGTCATGCGATACAGTGTCTGGTGCAGCAGTAGAGGCCAACATCTTAGTTAAAGTGCCCATTTCAATTGGGTCAGTCTGAAATTTGACAGAAAATAAAATAATTGCATTCAAGAAATAAAGGAACCGCAAGTGTACCTGTATAGGAATGCCGCCAGTGAAGAAATTTGGATCTAAAGTTTGACCATCGAATCCTTGTATGAACACTCCTGCTTCGACAGGGACCAAACCCTGACCAGAAGAAACCCCAGTTTGGTCTCCTAGAAGCGAATACTCCTCGATGGACTGCAAAAAGTTTTCAGCTTAAGATAGATAAATAATATTTGAAATTCACCTTTCCAATGCCATGTATGGAACTTTGCTTTGCAACCATATTCAAATTCAAGTCCCCCGAGACAGCGGCATTCAAGAGTTGAGGAATAGCTTCAGCTACAGCCTTGGAAGCCTCGCTGATATGCATCTTTTCAGGTGAGGCAGGCTCCTGCTGATTTTTGTTGTTAACATTTGATCAGCATTAGCATTTTGTCTTTTACCTGGACTTGAATTTCATATTTAGCCATAATTGGTTGATCGAAAGTATTGCCTGGAGGATTTATAACAGAGAGAGTTCTTTGTTCTACAGCTTCCACAAATTCGACCACAGTTTGAGTCTGGGTCAACGGATCAACCTTGGATACAAAAACTGCAGCCTTTAGGTTGTGCTTGCTTCGTTCCGAATTGATGATCACTTCTTTGGCATGGGTTTTAATGTGCTGCCTACACGCTGATGAGTAGGAGAATTGTTTCTCGCAATAAGGACAGAAGTATGACTTGTGTGGAGCATGGCAAAGCATGTGCCTTTTTAAGCTTCCCTATTGGAAAAAGCATAAATTTAAGGTGAGGTTTTTATAAGGTTGCAGGGGACATACCCAACATGTGTACTTCAGATTACACTCATTGCAATCATATGTCTTGCCATCTTTTGTATGAATGGCAACAATGTGGAGTTTCAAAGCTGGTTTTGAAGTGAAGGCCCTATAAATGGAAAACTTACTATGGAATATATTAATTAATTTTTATATGTACTTTCCACAGTCATCGCAGAGGAATTTCTTGATTCCATCATGGGACTCTTCGTGTGATTTCAAGTGCGATAACTTTTTGAAGCGGCAACTGCATCGGGTACACATGTAAGGGCGCTCTGCGTAATCTTCAGGTCGGTTAGAGGAAGAGCCTTTTTTCCTGTTGATTGCCACAATTCCTGTAAACAAAGCGTCAGTTAAAGCAAAAATTTATATCTCATTTATTAACGTTACCCTTCTCAGAAGCAAACAGGGGATCATGCAAATAAGGCAAGGACTCTTTCAGTTTTTCCTCCAGTAGCTTATTTTCCTGAATTTTATTCCGCCTTCTCTCAAGAATCTGCCTTTTTTGCTCCTCGCAATGGTGGTGCTCTTTGTTTGTGGGATAAATTTGCTCACAATAAAGACACGTATTAGTCTTTGCAGCATTGACGTGGCTCCTGAGAAAAATTGTCATTGAAAAACGAGGGACACAAAAATTGAGATATTGAGCTGTTACTTAAGATGAACTGCAAGAGAGGCAGCGGTAGAATATTTTTTTTGGCAAATCGAGCATTCCGCAGTTTTTTGTGGCAAGTGCGTGTGTAGGTGAACACTCAACGTACTCCTGACTGTAAAGCTCTTTTGGCAAAAATAGCACTGCAAGATGATACAAATATTATTATAAATTAATACTAAATTGCTTTTCTCATTTTGTTTACTCTGTAAGGTTTCTCATTTGTGTGAGTCCGAAGGTGTCTTATCAAGTCAGATGGCTTCTTGAACTCCTTGACACAATGCATGCATTGGTGCCATCGAAAACCTCCATGTCGTCGAACTTTGATTTGATAGTGTCTATAATTATATAAAATTTAAGACGCTGAAATTTATTTAAAAAAAAAATCAATCACCTAGTAGATCCATCAGCTGTACTGTCAGCGACAATCTGCACTTTTCCTGCCGGTGCTGCTGCTTCTGCTTTAGTTGACTGAGCTGAAATAAATGCAGGGTCAAAAATTTGATTTTTTTTAGGCTTGTGCTTACCATTTTCAAGTCCGCTCTGAGCAATTGCTTGTTGAAGAATGTCTGAATCACCAGGTGTCATCTTTGGCTCCTCTTGCTGAAATGAATTAAATATTAAAATTTGTTATAACTTAATTGATTTTTCTTACAGCTTTCTGAACCTCTGAGCTTCCTGAGTGGTATCTTGTGACGTGGGTGTTAAGGGAGCCGACCTTCTTGAACTTGCAGGTGCACAACTGGCATTGGTAGAGAAACTCTCCGACTTTAGCAATAGCATGTGTGCGAGATATGTGAGATCTTAGGTTGCCTTATAATGTAGAGAAAAATTAGGATAACTTTTGATTGAGAGAAAAACCTGCTCACCTCTTTGAACAAACGTTGCAGTGCAAAAAGTGCACTTGTAAGGTTTCTCTCCCTTGTGAAGATTCTGGTGAAGCAGCAGAGAGCCTCTTTGGGAAAATGCTTGGTCACACTTATCACACTAAAATTAGAACTTTTCATTAAAACATCCACATATTCCACTAATTAAAATTTACTTTGTGTGGTCTCTCCCCACTATGAGTCAACCAATGCCTCTTGAGTAAGGAAGGTTTAGCAAATCTCTTATCGCACAAGTTACACTTGTGAGTTCCCAATCGTCGGCCCCCAACGGGCTTTCTAGGCTGAGAAATTTTTAGGCTTTTCTGCAGCTGAAGATTAAAAAAAAAAAATTAGAATTAATTACCACAGAAAAAAAATTCATTTACCTTAGTGTGGTCTTTCATGTGAGTCTTGAATTCGGTGCAGCTGCTGAAGATTCTTTTGCACATTGTACATTCGTAACTAATTGAAACATCATCAAACTGCTCCCCATTTTCTTTGTGATTCTCGGTTATGTGCAAATCCAAATATTTCTAGACATTTTATGTTATTGATGGGTAACATTTTAACAAGAATTGTAATTAAAGAGCAAATACCTGAGTAGGGAATTCATCCCCGCACAATTCACAAGTTAGGCTCTCCTCTTTTTCGTGAATGAAAATGTGTGCTTTATATCCTGCTAGTCTCCTGAATTTCCTTTCACAAATTGGGCATGACCATATTGGCCCATCAAGATGAACAACTTCATGAAGTTGCAGATTAAGCTATAAAAAGTACAATTAAAAACAAAACTTCAAATCTGTAAGTCACAATACTTCAAAATTAAATGAAAAAGAGCATTTCCGACACTGGTACGGTTTGTCCATCATGTGTTTTAATTCATGTTTTCTTTTTTGAGCCCATTGTTTAAAGTCTGCATGGCAAACTTTACATCTATGAGGACCCTGCATTATTGGAGAGCAAAATAAATTAATTCAACTTATTTATAATGAACAAAAAACTGTACAGCAATAGGAGGTCGGTTCTCTTCTTCCACAATTGGACGATGCACAGCAGTGCTAGTAATATATTGTATTTCCTCCTGGACAGGTTGGTCAATTTGCTGCACTATCTGAGCTGTGGTGTTGAGAAAATTTGTTCCTACTAGAACCATAAATGTAGAGACTCAAACAGTTGCATTTAATTCAGGAATACCATTAAGTTCTGTGACTCTCTGCTGATTTGGAGCACTGAACGTTATGTTGGTCAGAGGGTTGATCTCGATAGTGGTATTGGTGATTTGAGGCTGCTGAAGGGTAAAAGCACCTTCTAGCTTGCCATCCGTAGTTGTGAGAATCATTCGCTGACCAAGCGTTTCATCAGTTACAAGCACAAGCTAAAAAAAATAAGGGTTTTCAGAATCAATTTCTAAAAAGTTATGTATATATTTATGTATTTACAAAGCGTTATAAGGAATATATTTCGATTTCTTTAAAAAAACTGCTTTCAACTGACCTGAGTCCCTGATGAGAAAACAGATTGTTGTTTCATTTTGTCCATGGGGGAGGTTTTGATGACCATACTCGAGTCATCAATGCTGATGGTGTTGGACTCAACGGAGTCCATTTGAATATTGCTGGCTGCACTGATGCTACCGTCGGCGTTGATAATCAGGGGGACGTTGATGATTCCCTGCCTGTTGTCCCCGATGTCTTCCAAAGGCAGAGTCATGACGTAGTGACCCTCGGGGGTTGAGAAGACGGTCCCCGCAGGGGTTTCGTCGTTGCTTGTGATAATCAACGACTGCGTGTCCATTTTCAGGCTGCGGAATTAATACATAATGTAATATTATTTAATTTCTTTCAACTTGCCTCAAGGAATAATTATTTCAAAGCGAGCTGATATTTCAAATTTGTTACATGAATACACAGACGGACAATGGGTGGATTCAATTTTTACATATTAATCTGCTCCCTTCATAGACGGCTGTTTCTTTAATCATGCTTTTACAGCCTTTGAGGAATCTGAAGTCATTAAAATTATTGTATTACCTGCAGGTCCGGTGGAGAGAGCAATTTATATTAAATTTAACATTTTCATGTCGCGAGAACGAAGAGAAATGTCAAAATTTCAGCTGCAGCTTCTTTGCCATAAAATGGTAAACAATTAATAGTGCTTCCCATTGGTCAAATAAATATGCATTCGCCAATCGCAGCAAAGAAGAATTTGAAAAAGCGCGCCATTGATCCAACATTAAAAAATAATAAATATGAATTTGTTGATCAAAGATTTTAATTTTGTTGCACAATTAGAAAAAATAGACTATTCCATTATTTTCTTCATCAAGTCAATGTCATAATGAGATTGAAACTAAATTTATAAATTACATAAATTATAAATTGAATGAATAGCTCTTCTCTCTTGAACTTTATCACATAAATGACATGAATACCAAAGATCTAAACTGAAGATAATGCATAATTTATCTGATATTTTAGAAATCATAATGTGAGCTGGTATACTAAATTTAATTTAATAAATAAATAATAAATTACGAACCCAATCAACATTTTCTCGAAACTTAAATATTATAAAATATCTGTTAAAAAGTCATCATTAATATTTGCTTGTTGGTAAATGAGAAAAAAAATTGTGACTATATTTTAACGGAATTTCTATTAAATAAGCATTGACTGCGGTGGCATAAATTTATTTTAGTATACTCAGTTTGCTTCTTATTTTGAGCTCTGCAATTTGCAGAAAATGCCTAAATGCAAAATTTGATTTTTTTTATTTGTCATAACTTAATGATTTTATTTACATGTAACATTTTTTCTACAAACATTTTACTTCAACCAAATTCCTTTATCACCTTGATCCGCGTTGTAACCCTTTTCAAATTTGTTTCCTGGTGCCTGCAATCACAGAAATTAAGATAGACTTTTATTTAATGTCAAATAATGCCCAAACTCACATTGTCAATGGCATTGTGATAAACCCAGGCATCGTCTCCGTCAATGAGCAGCTCTGGTGCAGTGTGAATGGGCACATTGAAGAATGTCTCAAGCCAATCTCTTTTGTCGGCGTACAGTTGACGATACTTGTGCCAATCCCACTCATTGGCTAGATCCCTCCAATCCCGCAGTTTGGTGTCCTCTGTCTCGTAATTGTCGAAATCTAAACGCTCAATATCTTCGACGACCACCTCTACATCTCCGTGGCTAGACCAGTCATAAACAAGGAGCTCTGCATGTGAACTATCAAAATAATTGAATATAGAAAAAAAATTTCATAACAAATGATAAAAACCTGATGTCCTTCAGATAAATGTTCTTCATCGCATCTTGCGCATCAGTTAAGAACTTCTCAGTCAAAGCTTTGGAGTCCTTTTCGTCAGGCCGGGCTCTCTTCTTAATGTTCTGCAATGTTACGGGCACAGGCACGTCCAAGTAGACGACCAAGTGAGGCCTCAAAAGCTGAGTAATCGTGTTGTCTCGGAATCGGTAGTACATGTCAAGAGCTGGAAATTAAAAAAAAAACATTTGAAAATAAATTATTTAATATTTACACGGTTAACAAAATTACCATTCTTGCTGATGTATTCGTTCTTGAACATAGCCTCGGCAAAAACAAGATCGCTGTAGCAGCTGCGGTCAAGCACCACCCCCTGTCCGGTGCTCATCAAATGGGCCAGAGCCTTCATGTACTGCATGTACCTCATCTTGTACATGAGACATTGCATCATTGCCACCTTCCTGTTCTTCGGGTCCTGGTGGAAGTGCTTAATGTCGAAGCTGCGGCACGACTCGGGTACCTCCGGATCCAGGGTGCGGGTGTCAAAGCCGTAGCTGTTGATGTAGTACATGTCCAGGTGTCCGTCAGGCACGTAAAGCATATCCAAATCCTCGGCCAACTTCTTGGCAACCGTAGACGTACCTGAGCAAATATCGATTTGAAATTCTCTCATTTTAATTAAGAAATAAACACACACCTGATGCTACGGGTCCCTCGACGACGACCACTTTGGAGTTCTCGTCCATGCGAGCGGTGGTGCTCTCTCGAAGGAAGAAAGCGTCGAAGAACGTGAACTTCTTGTCGGCGTAGGGCCATGGTTTGGGCCTCTTGTAGGTGGGGTCGCGCAGGGCCTTGCCAGAGATCTCCCTGCGGCCCACGCAACTGATGGACCTCACGGGCCGCAAAATAAAGCGACCCAACACGACCCCTGAGCTCATTTTGCAAAAGTCAAGTATGGCGGTCCGCTGACCAGACCAAAACAGATGTTTCGGTTTTAAATCGCAAGAGAATCCACGCAACGTCCATCAGCCTCGTCACAGTCCCCGCCAAATTTGAATTCTCCCACATGCAACCAATGCAAAATTTGAATTTGGCGGGCAAACGAGATTAGTTTGGTGGTAGGAGTGGCGTAATCCACCAACCCAACAATTTCAGGAAGCGCAGTGAAATTGCAAAACTGCACAAACTGCAACAAAAAGACCTTCGTCCTTTATTTACACTATCGTCGCGTCTAGTTTTTCCTCGATAACCGAAATCTAGGATGTGATGGCAGCTATATTGTCGCAGTACAGCACCACCGGCTTTTGTAAGACCGCTTTTCGCGTTCAACTTAGGTGGTTTCAATTCTAATTTCTGGTCGATTTCCGCAGACAAAGCCCCAGTCAGCAAGGCCTTGATGGGATCCGTCTTCCTGGCCTGCACAGCCCTCAACACTCCGGCCCTGGCCCACCTGCGGCCGTATCTCCTTTGCAGACTGCCAGAGTCGTTCGCCGAGCCGTGGCGCTTGCTCACCTCCAGACTCACCTTCCTGGACACGAAGGACCTGGTCTGCGGCGCCCTTCTCATCTACTATTTCCGAATATTCGAACGCCGCTTCGGCTCACACAAGTTCTCGTCCTACCTTCTGGCCACTGGTCTGTTGGCCACTCTATTCGAGGCGGCCGTCGTCTATGCCATCAGGCCGCTGGGCTTTCACGACGGCCTGCTTCCGCCAGGACCGTGAGTCCCCATTATATCTCTTAATCTTCAGGACTGATATTAATTTTGGTTGTTGCTCTAGGTACTGTCTTATCTTTCCTTTGTTTGTCAACTTTTTCTTTGACATACCCCGGGTGGTCACAACGCATTTTGTCGGATTCCCCGTCACAGGGAAAACCCTGACTTATATTCTAGGCCTGCAAGTGTGTTCCACAAGCTCTGCAAATTTCGTCACAGCCTTATGTGGCATTGTAAGTATAAATTTAAATTATTTCATAATATATAATTATTTTATTATTCAAATGAAAAATTCATTTCAGGAAGGCGCAATCTTTTTTTTATTAAAAAAAAACATAAATAATTAGCTTGGAAATAAATTCTAACGCTGATACGAAAATCTGAATTACAGAATAAAATTTGAATATTTATTGAAAATTGATATTATTATTTTCATTAAAAACATTTAAATTAATTTTCAGGCAGCTGGCTTGGTATGGAGGAGTGGAGTCTTGAACTGGCTAAGTGTACCTGGGTTTGTGGCCCGCGCTTGTGATCTCACCATTGGCCGCCTCTTGCGGTCGCAGGCGCCAGCCCTTGGTGCTGTTGGGGCCACACTAGAGCTGCAGCGGCAGCAGCAAATGGAGCTGCTTGAACAGCAGTTGCAAATCAACAGAGCCAGGGACCATAGAACGAGACATGTGAGTTCCTCTTGCATTTTTTTAGTCATAAAGCTAAATTTTGAAAATGTCTTTATGCTTTTATTGAAGAATATAATGAGAAAAGTAGAATAATTTGCGATATGAAATTTTTTAAATTAAAATTTGTAAATTACTAATTGTAAGTTTAAGCATTACTTTATAGTTTCAAGGTATTATCCTATTTTTCGGTGTTCAAAATATATCTTTTAGGAGCAAAATTTGCTATCTGTTTGCGATAATAATTTGTTCCATTTTAATAGCATAAATTTAAAAAAAAAAAAATTTTATTTAATTTAAAATACATCACAAAGGCGTGGAAATGAATTTGAGGTATATGAATTTTTTCCATATTTGATTATAATTTGACAATATTGTTTCCTTAATTTTAGTAAAAACTGGGTAAGACGGAATTCAGAAAAATTAATTTTTACTTTTTCCCAACTCTTTAAATCAGTAGTTTTTTGTAATCTTATGAAATTTCACAAAGGAGAAAAATTAATTTTTAATATACGAATGAAAAAATGTTATTCATTTTTTCATCCGCACTTCTTTAAATCAATACATAATATATTATTTTCTCAAAAAAATTATTTGGGTATATTCTTTAATTTTTCAAGAATTTTTTAAATGAAAAGGTAAAAAATAACCGCAACAATGGTGAGCCGCGTGTGCTGCGCCGCAATACCTGCCTGCCCCGCCGGTTGCATAATGACTCGTCTCGTCGGCTCTTGTACATTTCAAGACTGCAACTCGTGTCGCAGAACAAAGCGGGCGCACTGTTGTGGCGCACAAAGCGGAAGGCGGGATTCATTTCTTTGCATGGCCTGAAAGAACCCTCGCTGTCTGTGTTGCAGAATTTTTAATTAAAACGAGTTCGGCCCTTGTCGCAATGTAGGCCATGCTCAAGTTTTGGTTGCGGATCAAGATTTAGAACAAACATCTTTTTAAATCCTTTTGCCTGTCAAAGCTTATCTGTGCAGTTTTGCGCTAAAAATGAAAAGAAAATTCGAAAAATTCCAGATGGATGATTTTATCTTGGCGACTTTTTTCTCTGATTGTAAATCTTAAGCTGTGAACAGCGTGTTTGTTGGTGTCGCACTTTATCTTGTACTCCCTGTGATAAGGCGGCACCTTCGAAAGACCCTCAAATCTCTATTTGATTTTAGGCTTTGGACCTGTTGAAGCATAAAATTCTCATCTAAGAAATTAAATTGAAATTCCATGCATTATAATGCATGTGAAAAGCAAAGTTGCATATTCGTAACTTCATTGATAATATAATTTTTTTTAATTTATTCCCAGCATTCATAACGTTAGCAAATTTTTTTTATGGAAAGACATGCTTCTTTTCTTTAAATTTTATTCTTTGTTTTGTGTCTGACAATGCTAAGATAAATCATCAAATTGATATTATTAAATTTATTCCAAGTAAAATAAATATTTGAATCTATTCAACAATAGTTGCTGACCTAAAATCAGCCATATTGTAAAATTTTTGGACAATTGCTGTATCATTTCTAGAGAGCAAATTGAATAATGCTATTTTCGTAATTAAATCATAACATAGCTCTGATTATTCACAAAATTTGAGCTCAGAAATTTATCTAAATCAACTATCCTAACTTCCTAAGCCTATAATTTATAAGAGAATTTTTTCAGTATCAATTTAATATTTTTCTAGAAGTAGAAGCGTTTTCCTGTTTGGCACATTTTGTTTCATATTTCACATTACGCAATTTTGTGAATGGGTAATATTAAGAGCGATGAAGTAATAGAGTGATTAAAGTAACAAGCGGCGCCGCTTTGGTGCTGTAACGGACGCGCGCTCTCTTCTCAGGGTGTAACTGATATTGCCTCCTATTCTCCAGCCCGATTTACACTCGGCATTGTTGTGTGAGAAACGCGCTCGCTCACATGATGGTTATAGGATGAAACCTGTTTTACTGGCGTAGGTGGGAACGTAAAATTGCTGCGGCCGAGCCCGCACATGTGTGGCAAAATTATTTTTATATAAATATGGAAGAAATCGTGTTCCCCTTTCCGCAGGAATTTGGATTGAATTTTAGAGCTAAAAATTCGCATAAGACGATGATTCGTTTCAACATTTGTAATTTCTAGCTTTTTATTAATATTATGAAAATAATTTTTTTTATAAATAAATCTAATTATTTTAGAAATTTCTGAAATCAAACTGCTCAAAAATAATGTGAAAATTTGGTGAATTGTTTTTAAAATTTTAATGCAACTTGTGGGATATTTTTAGGGATTCTTTTTTAAGATTATTCACATATTCTGAACACGTTTCCTTTCTTGAGAAAATTCTCCCTGTTCAAGATTGTGAATAATTCTTTTATCTGTTAGGAAAATCTATGAATGGTGCTATGACGAAAAAGGCGTTTCTCACATTTCCATTCCTGCTTTCCTTGCGAAACAAATTTGAATATTCGCTGCTGCTCTTTCTCTCTCTATAACATTTCAAACCGTGCTACTGCGTAAATTTACTGAGAGTCAATTGCGTCACCACTGCTTTCAGGGTCAGGGTTACGCGGAGACGCTTGTTGGTCCAGACCATCACGGGTGGCAGGCGAACCAAAACGAGCCTCAACCAGCAGGTAGGATCTTTTCTAATTAATTATCTCGCAGCTATATTTTGTGTCGCTTTTACAAATTTTATTTATTAATTATCATATAGCAAGAATTAATTTATAAATTATATCTTTCTTTTTTTTAAATTTATTCTTGTTGTTAAGGTTATGAAATTGTAAAAATTATTAAAAGATTCACGTTATTTTATTCAAATATTTAATAATTTGCTTAGAACAAAAATTCTACATTTTGAAAATGCACTCAAACTTTATTTCCGGTTGTTAGGGGTGAACAACGCCGAGCAACAGGAGGAGCAGGTGGCGCGGCTTGTGGACATGGGCTTCGACAGGGAGAGTGTGGTGAACGCCCTGAGGGCGGCCAACAACGACCTGAACACGGCCACCAACCTGCTGCTTCAAGAGGGCTGAAGACCAAAAACTCAACAGCGATACAACTTAATAACAAGCTGAACTGTGAACGCTGATAGTAATTTCCTCAGCGAGAAAGACTTGAATTTCGAAGAAGTCGCCGGTCATTGTTTCTTAAATATTTGTTCTTTTTTTTTCCTCGAATTTTATTAATATATATTGCAGCGTGCGAGACAGTACGTGCGTCTATCATGAGTGTGATGAATAAAACTGTGACTAAAATGAGAATCTATGCTGCCGACAAATTTGTCATTCTGTTACAAAGGTCACGCAACCCTAGGAATGTAAAGTCGAGTAGGTGGGACTACACTAGCGCGCGGGGTCGTGGCAACACCGGAATGGACCCGCGGCGCCTGCGTGATCACTTGAAGAAGACGCTGCCTGACGTGAGTGTCGAGAGCACAGAGTCGTACACCAACAGCGGTCGCATTCGTTCTCGTCAGGGGCCTGTCCGGGCCCGAGCAGTCCCGCCATGCACCTCCACATGTGACCCTGGCCGCAGAGTGAGTAGACCTTCCGAAGGTTGAGGTCTCTCGGCACCTGTCAGTGCGATTTTTTTAAACTCGAGGGTTGTTTTGTACATAAATGGGGTTTCGTGGGGGTGTCACGCCCCCTCGTCTCTCCGGAGCGACCTTCGGCAGGGTGCCTTGTTGTCATTATTCGGCCGAGGGTCGAATTTCGCCGGCGCGATGCAAGTTCGGCGCATGCAACTCTCCCGCCGCGCCGATCGATAGCTCGAGTGGACGCGAGTGACGTCACCCTCGCTACACAGATGCCAAGGGGGGTTTAAATATCTCGCCTCCCCGCGCACCCCCGGCCGAGAATCCCCCGTTCGCGGACTCGGCGCGCCGGAAATCGCGCCTAGTGGGGCCCTCGGGACCCTTTTGCGAGGCCCCACCGTACGTGACTCACCTCCGCGAATATATGCATGTGTGTGTTAATCAGCTCTTTATTGCTGCGAGATGCTTTATGCAAATAATATATACGTCGGTGTGTTGCCATTCAAGTGCAGCGGCACGGCAAGGGCTCCGCGCACCGACGGATAAAAAAAAAATATGTATTTCAAAGTTGGGCCGAGCAATGTAGATAGAGTAGACGACGGGGACGTATATGGTACGTGTACACGCGAATTTTAATGCTCGCATGATATCACGAGTGAGTGTCGCCGGTCGTTAATACATACACAAAAGTTTTGCTCTGGGAGGAAAATCTGTGTGCCGGCGTTGCGTGATTCACTTTTAAAAAATAATAAGCTTCCTTGGCTAGACGGCAAAATGTTTACGAAATTTCTCACGTAGCGATATTTAAATTATAAATTTTTTTAAATCTTTTAAACCAGAGAGATAATTTTTTTACCGCCTGTTTTATATTTTTGCAAATGACTTTTTGGATTTTTTAATAGAGTATTTTTGAAAAATTGTAGCTCAAGAAATTAAGTGTGCTGAAAATGAATTAAAATATTATAAAATATTTTAAAAGTAAATTTCAATTAATATAAAACAGAAATGCTGACAACTCTTTAGCAGCACAATTTTGCTATCATGGGAAGTAAAAGATAAATCATAATAATGGAACTTTTTATTCCATTTAGATTCGCTGAATTTAGTTTGTTTTCTTCTCGTAAGCAGCTTGAAATAAATGGTCGTAAATCATAACGGGATTTTAACTCCCTCACCCGGCTCTTTATGCCATATTTTTTATTGACTCGAACCGCCTCCACATTGAATTTATTAAATTTGAGCCGTTTGTTTTTTCCCTTGAATATGACTCGCTCGCAATTAGCATGGCTCTTGAGCGAGCTCTCATACGGCGCAGCAGTAAAACTTTTCAATGGATTATTTCCTCTCGAGAGAGAAGCCTTGTTCGCTCTGGGAACCGCTCTCTCAAGCCAAGTATTTCCTTAATTCTTTCGGCCTTTTCTCTCTCCAGCAGCAGCAGCCGCCAGTCTGCTTTCGGTCCGTTCTATCTTTGGAAATGTCAACTCGGTAATTTTAAGTGGAATGCCGTCAAATAGCTATAGCGCTCTTTAATTAAAGATCACTCAACCCTTTGGCCCAGTTTCAGCGACAAACGAGCTTCTTCTACTTATTTTAGCCCTTAAAATTTAAAATCAAATAACCCTGTATACCTTTCCCTCACGTTTTTTTAAACCACCGGCTTTTAACAATTTGCTTCTCTGGGAAGATCTTCAAAGCTTTTAAATAAAAAAATCTAGAAGTTTAAGAAATCTATAAAAGTTAGTGAAATTTTCCAACAAAAGCAGTGGTTCTTTATTAGTAACTATAGAAAATGCGTCATTTTTTTTAAACTTTTACTTCAATTTTAACGTTGTTTTGAAGAATTCTTAAATATTGAAATAAAATGCCGCAAAATTTTAATAAAAATTGCTATAAATTATTAAAATTATTATATGTTCTCTTAGAGATCTTTATGCTGATTTTCTTATTCCTATCACTTTATGTGCATTTTCCATGTAAATTGATGTAAATTTTCAAATTAAGATTTCTTTATTTTTTTTTGAGCTAAACGAAAAAATGAAAAAAAAAAATTAAAATCTGCACACAAACAAATTTGGAAACTTTTTTAAATTTACCTTCAGGAAAAACACCAGGAATAAAGTTTTAAATATAATCTTATAAACCAACTCTTAAAGCATCCTGCGTAAATTACAATTAAGCAGTGCTTTTAAGCCACTCGTAATTAATTAGCTAAGCGACCAGAGATTATACAATCCCACGCGTAATATGAAAAGTTGCTTCCTTCGAGTGTGTTGCGGCTTATTTTCCGCGCCACTAGAAGACGCTGGTTAATTTTGCAGCGAGCCCCACGGTGTGTCGCGATTTCGCTGCTGCTCTGCTCGAGCGCAATCTTGATCTGGCGGCAGGCGCGTGCGTTATTGATTCCCGCAGGCCACGCTTTTCCATTTTCCGCCACACTGATTGCGAGCGGCGGCGATTTACTCTGCAACTAATTCGCCTCTCTGCTCCACAGGCATGGCCACCGAGGAGCCTTCGATCGTCGAGCAGTGAGTACATTCAAATTTCGTCCGCCCGCACCCCCTCACACACACACGTTTTTTTTCCGATTCAGGTGCGACGAGGTGACCGAGTCGCTCGAGCTGCTCGACGCGGTCCTGCTGCAGTTCGACGAAGAAAAACGAACGCCGCCTCCGCCGGAGGAGGCCGCCAGGATCATTTCTTCCCTTGTGTGAGTACCAAATTTTCTTCCGAGCGAGTGACTTTCGAGGACGGGGCACGTTTTCGCATCGATTCTCTTCTGCCGGAGCCGTGTTTTGAAAAATTGCACACCCGCTCTGCATTCCTCACTAAAAAAAAACTCATATGCCGGCTTCTTCGATTAATCATCTTTCTATACTTCCCCCGGGAACATTTATTTTGACCCACTCGGAAGCACATTAATTTTATATATTTATACACCTGCAAGCGTTGAAAATATATTTGTATGCATGCTTTTATATACTTACTTAGTGTATGGATGCTTTAAAAATCGATAAAAACAACGCGTCGTCGGCTTAAAAGCTGCTTTTAACCGCATGTATGTTTTTCCACAGTGGGTCTCCATATCAAAGTCTCCAAAGGGGCCAAGGCACCCAAACGACCCTGGTGAGAAAATTTTGTAATCAGAAAATGTTATTTTTTTTATTTAAAATTTTGAAATTTCAGCCTCGGCCAAATAAAAAACTCAGTTCCCAATTCGGTTCCTTGCCTTTCGACCTCTCTGCGCATGCAGGTTGGATAAAAATATTTCAATTTTTGTAAATTTTTATATTTTGAATTTTATTTTTATTAATCAGCACCTTCCGCGCCGCCTTGGCTGAGCAAAGAGGCGCCCCGAAATCACCTTTATCTGCCTATTCAAAATCCTTTGACGGTATCAATTGGCCACTCAAGCGTAAGAACACACTTTGAAAATGTGAAGTTTTTACACCACTTTAATAAACACAGGAGGAAGAGCAATTTTCTGATGATTCGCTGGAAGGGCAAGTTTGGAGCTCCGACAGGGATCTTTCCAACGACAGAGATGACCTGGCCAGTCGGGGAGATATCGTTTCTGAAGGTGAAAAGCACAGTAAGGACGACGGCCGCGTCAGCATAGCATGGAAAATCGACTGGAACGACAAAAGAAACGAGCAGGAGATTGAAATGAGTATGTAGTTTTAAATTGCAAATTTGCTTCCCTTCCTGTTATTTCATGAATTGCAAAAATAACTAATTTTGCAAAAAACATCTTTCAGATGGGAAAGGCACTTACGTTATAAAAGAAAAGAAAAGGAGGTCCGGCTTGGAGGAAGGATTGTTCGACCGGCCGCAAATGCCGTCGTCGAAGAGCTCGGATCACCTCGACAAAAGTGCCAACATTTCCAGAGGCCGCAGCCTGCCGAGCCTGAACTGCGACAAACCACTGGAGAACGGGTTTGTGGTGGCAATAAATCAAGACGACGAGCGACCTGTCGCCCGCGTCAACGGCTTCAAATACATTCCAGTGGAATTGGGTGAAAATTCGTTGGACGCTTGCGACTCCCTAAGCGCTGATGTCAAGGCAGTTGACGAGTTCGGGGATAATGAGCAGCAATCGGACGGACAGAAATGTGCCATTGTGAACGAGAATAGTGTGGAGGAAGCCGAACTGCCTGCTGATTCCGCCGCCATAGAGCAGACTGAAGATAAGAAAGTGAACGGCGCAGAAAATTTAGAAGAAATTTTAGAGGACGAAAAAAGCCAAACTGTGCAGGCGCCAGAAGAAAAGCCTGAAGCTGAAATTTTGAAGCAGGAGCCTGCTGAGGTTATTGAACTTTTTGATTGTGCCGAAAAGGAAGAAACCATTGTTGCTAAAGTTATTTTGATAGAAGAGGACAAAGTCCAAAAAGAAGAAGATGCAAATATGCTGGAAGACAATTCATCTGTAATTATTATTGATACCAAAGAAGAAACTGCAGAAGAAATTGTCGAGACGTTAGGAGTGCAAAAAGAAGAAGCAGAGGAGGCGCCTCCACTTACAGAGGAAACGGAAGTTATTATAGGTTCGAGAGAAGAGGAAGAAATTGAAGTTTCCGAGGACAAAATTGAAGGGAAAATTTCCAAAGAAGAGGAGGCTTTGGTTTTGGATACGCAGCCGGAACAAAAGGCTGTTGAAGAAATGGATTTGACTGTTGCAGAGAAAGCGCCTGAGGAGAAATCAAATGCAGAAGAGCAAGAAGAAATCCAAGCGAGCCCAATTTGGCAACCCTTGGACTCTGGATCTGAAGTCAGTGAAGACGAAACTAAAACTGAGACGCCTAGGCCTTGTGAATTGAGTTTCAAAATCATGAGACCAAAGGTGAGAGTATTTAATGTATACAATTATTCACTGCCAAGAATTCCTTTGCTCATGAGTTAATATATTGGGCGCTCAAGATTTAATTTTAAAGTTTTGAAATATTTTAAATAACAAACTAATGGTAGCTGAAAGTCAAAAGCTATATTTTTGATCTTTTATGTAAATATTTCATTTCATATTTTAAAAAAACTTCTACGTTTCTTTCGTATTAAAATTGTAATTTGAATATTCAACAGGTCATTCCTCGGCCAAACTCGCTCCCCACAGCTGAAGAGAGTGTCGTCGTCTACACGAACAGCGTCATTCTGTACCCTGACGCAGGTCTGATCACCTATTACGACGAACGGTCGCCACCTAAGGAATCTCCCAAGGAGGGTCCGAACCTGCTGAGGCCCAAATCTTGTTCCGACATCAGCTCAACGGCAGCATTCGCCTGCGTCGACATTAGCATAGACGACGAGCCGCTGAGTTTGGAGCCCATCACAATTACTGCCACCGAAGATGCCTCTGAGACCATCGACGCGGAGGACGAGACCGAGGAATTGGATGAGGAAATCAAAGAGGAAATGAAGGAGCGCGTCATGGAATTGCCTGTCAAGGTGGACTGTCTGGTGCAAACGGAAATTTCCGGTCTCGGCCGACGCCTGTGCCTTGGGTCGCCGGGAGAACAGGTGAATTGGATTATTATCAAATTATTTCATGATTTTTTTTTTTTTTTTTTTTATCAAATTATTTCATGAATTCAACTTAAAAAGACTAAATATATAAAAAAGGTTCTTGGGAATGATTAAATTTTTTAAATTATATTTTTATTATAAATTTATTTTTGTTTCTTCCAAAAGGTTGTGCCTTCCATGGCCGGTTTTACTCCAGTGGAAAACAAGTCTTTGGAGCTCAGCCTGGCAACCGTCAAGAAAGAGAGCGAAGAGCTTCCGGCAATTCAAAGACCTGCCTTTTTCGAGCCTCTGCTGAGCCGAGAAAATAGACGACGACCTCACCATGGCTCCCAGGGAGAGGTCAATATCCCCCAGCACCGGCACTCGGTGCCTGAGTCCTTCCTCTTCCCCAACAGCTTCACCATTCCTCTGAGCTTTGCGGTCACAAACAAGCCTTCGCCTGGAAACAGCGACGTGGAAGAGGCTTCCGTGGAAATTTTCAAGGAGAAGAGGAAAGAGCTGCCCCCACCGCCTCTGCCCGAACACCAAAATGTGCCAAAAAGCATAGAGAATAGACCCCGTCAAAAGACGTAAGATTTGGAAAAAGTAAAATCAAAATCATTTAAAAAAATTTCTGCAGACCTGTTGAGCCTGAGTACCGCAGTGTGCACAAAACCCGGCCGCCTCCGCCTCTGCCTCCACACCAAAACCTGACGGAACTTTACTCGGAGCCCCGCTCTTTCCCCGACGCCTTTCCCGCCCCTCCGCCCCCGCCACTCGCACCCTCCTACTCGGATCACAAGGCGCCGGCAGTGCCCGACCACAAAAGCCCCGCGGTCCCTGAACACAAAGCCCCCGCAGTGCCCAACCATAAGGTGGTTGGCAAGGCGCCGGCCGTTCCCGAGCACCGCGCCTCCTACCCTGAGCAGCCGTTGCCGCCAACGCCTCTGACCCCCGACCGTCCGTTGCCTCCGTCCCCGCGACTGCCCACTTCGGCCAGCTTCCCTGTGCCCCCCGTGGCCCGTCATTCGCCCAACATACCCCACAGGCCTCTGCCCTCACCCCCGAACACCCTCAAGACCAGATCAGTGGACGCCGGACTTGGAAAAGGGCTTCGAGATCAGCTCAAGGCACAGCAGGTTTGTGATTGCAATATTTTTATTTTATTCAAATACAAATTTCTACCGTTATTCAGTGAAGATTTTCCTTCAAATTCAATTTAAATTGGATAGCTAATTGTGTAATTAATGAAAAATATTTTTTACTTATAGAAAAGAAAAATGGCTCAAATCAAATGTTTATTTTACAATTTTACCAAACTTTTTTTTTCTTTTAACCTGCCAAGTTTCAAACTTTATTTCAATTTTTCTATTATTAGGCAATTGGGGGGGGGGGGGGGAATTCGGCACTTCATAATGACAATACTGCTTCAAAACTGAATAAGGGAATAACAATAATTTCATAATTGGAATTTGCGTCTAATATACTTGATTATTATTATTTTTATTGGAGAAATGAAACTCTGCCTGTTGTAAATTAGAAAAGTTTAAATGCAACCTGCTGGGCACTGGTGAATGTCCGGTTGCATAAAATAGCTGCTTAATTGCTGTTGGCAGTGGGACAAATCGAAAGCCACTCAAAAAGATGGAATTTTTGCCAAATCCCTCTAGTGAAAGAGTTGAATGCTAAAATTAATTTTGGCAACGCTGAAATGGCTGAGCGGTGTATTTTTTGTGTGCCTGCCGCCTAATTAAGGACGAACACTTAATCATGCAAAGTTGGAACACACTCAACTCGTTCGGAATGTTACTACTTAGTTTAAAACTTCATTCATTGCCCAAAAGATATATTTAATCTAAATTTACAAAGCTTTTGTTTTTGCATTCAATTCGCAACCTTGCTCTTTTTTCCGCCCTGATCATTTTCAGAGCGTACTTGATGTTGAGCGCTTTTGTGCGTGAACAAGAGCCACGAATTGTGTGCCAATGTCGAGGCGCACTCGTTTTACATGTACTCGTCTGCTCGTAATTGTTGCAGTGCTGCTTGCAAAGTAACAGGATCGCGCCTTTAAAGGCCACGACTGGTTCTTATTCCTCTCAAGTCGCCGCCCGCTCGAGAGGTCAGGAGCATCTCGTTTACAATCGGCGCGTTTCGAATTTGAAATTTTTTATAGACTGCCCTCCCTATCTATCCGTGCATAGAGATGCGAGATCGACGCGCAAAGATGTTATCTCGCATCGATAAGGGGCGTAGTTAAAATATTTGCTCCTCGAAATTCACTTCGTGCAACAAGATTAGCCCGCAGAGCCAAAGAAATAAAATGCAGTTTTCGTTTTGGTGCTCGTGTTGTTGCCACGCGCTTATCGCACACACGAGCTCGCTCGCATTTCTTTCAATCTAGTACTGCGCCCGTTTTTGCGGTCAAAGTTTTCCTGCTTGCATGCACTCTATGGTTTTGTGGAGAGTTGAATTCGTGTTTTCTGAAACAATCCTAGAGAAGAAAGAAATCCCACAAAAATAAAACCACGGCTTTTTAACGAAAATGGGGCAGAGTTGGTATAGTGAAATGAAGACAAATATATTAAAAACAGCTAAATTTGAATTTTGTTTTGAAAAACAGACTAGAAATATAAACAAAAATATTAAAAAAGTTAAATTAAATTTAACTTCAATTACATTTAATTCGTTATATTAATTGATAAAATCTAAAATTATATTTATTTAACTCAAATCAGATGCTACAAAAATTAAAAATTTCGCCAATTTTTTGAGGAAGAATTTAATTTATTTTTAATAAAAAAAAAATAGGAGTCTGATTGTGATTATGAATATTTTTTATTTGAAATGCGATCCAAATAAATCAATTTATTTAAAAAATCTTAATGTGGAAGTATATACATCAAAATTTACTGTTACTTTTTAGGTGAAAAAATACTTAATTAGAGATTCAAGATTGAATTGAAACTTCCTACTCAGAGGAAAATGATGAAATACGTTACTTTAGGTTCCAAAATCCTGTCTGTAATCGATTTTCGGTAGAATTGTTCGGTGATTTATAAATTTTTTTCACCTTATACATTAAAAATAAAGTATAATTTTGACTTTTTTTCTAACTTTTACTAAATATTTACTTATTTTTATTTAAAATTGATTCGATTAATTTTTTTGCTCGTTGATGAAAAAATAAAAAGGTTTCCATTGCAGGGTTGCACGTTACCTCCAGACCTAGGCGGTGCCACGCCGAGACGGGGCGCTCCCCTGACGGGCCGCAAGAAGCACCGCGCGCCAGCCGTACCACCGCACGCCTCGCTGCCGGAAACGCCCGTCTTTTCGCGGGGCTGCGACATCCCCCGCGCCCCCTACCGCGCCCTCGGCATCCCCGTGCTGCGCTCGTCGCTGTCCGAGGAGGGCGCCGCCCTTTGCGGGCCCGGCCGCGGTTGGTACCCCAAGCAGCGGCGGCCGGCGGCCCGCTCCACCGAGCACCTCGAGCAGGCCGGCTGGGGGCCGGAGGCCGGCGGGGGCGGCCGCAAACCCCACACGCTGCCCCCCAACATGAGTCCGCCCAAGTTTTTCCACCGCTCGTCGCCGCGCGAGGCCCTGCGCAGGGTCACTAGTCTGCTGATCCGCGGCCGAACCATGCCGGCCGCGGCGCCCCCCAAGCCCAAGGAGCGGCCACGCGAAACGGCCGCCTCGGCGGCCGCCTGCGAGACGCCGCAGCGACAAAAACGCAGCTTCTTCCGGCACTTCTGGAAAAAGTCCAAGCACTACTCGCTGGAGCAGTGACGCGGCCCCCGCGGCCCCCCGAAGGCAGCGACCTCCGGAGGCGGCTTTGACCTTTTCAGGGTGTTCAAGCGGCGGTCACGCAGGTAGATCTGCAGAGAAGGTTTCAGCGGCCGCCGCCTCTGCACCTTCCGCTTTTCAGCGGGCTTTCCGAGTTTGTTGGGCCGATAAGATTAAATTAACACTGCGAAAAATTAAGCAACCCGCTTGACAGTTTTATTCAATTTAATAATAATCCTGTACACCTGACAGGATTGCATTCAGGACAACTTATTTTTACTTAGGACTTGGAAATTAAAACGTCGGTTAAGATTTTGCTAAATAATTTATTTTCCATGGTGAAAAATGAATTAAGAAAACCCCAGAAATCTTTTTATTTATTAATATGATAAGTTGAGCTGATATTAACCTTGTCATATTTTAAAAGAATATTATTTTATATTTGAATTATCTGTGTCCTGCGGGTTGCGTATTTGGCGCATTTATCTTGGAAATGTAAGAAATTAATGGTCAATAACAAGAGCTGAGAACGTGGCATATTATATTTGTAGTGATTGCGGTCGCATGTTTTTCTGGAGGGAAACCCACTTCCTTCGCCACAATCCAATCTTATCTGATAGAAATCCAGCCTGGGTGAAAAGTTCCTGGTCTAACCGAGCGGTTGTTGTGCATTTATAATGCAATTAAAAACAAATAAAATGAATTTTGAGCACAAAACAAGCGCCGTTCAAAGCAGATTGGGAAATTCGAAAATCAAACTTTTCACAATTTTATATCCTTGCACCGAGTACCCAGGCAGCGAGCGAATTTTAAAATGAAATTATTTTCTGAGCTATTTTCATCAAAAAATGTACTAGTATGGAGAATTTTTTAAATTGAGATTCCGTTCAACCTGCGATCACTGAAATTTCTGTCTCGCCCTTTTCGGTCAGCAGGGCTCAATAATTGACGCTCAAAGCAGCTCAAAATTTATAGAACCTGTATTTTCCTTCGATATGACATTTGCATATGATGCACTTACAGTTATTTAACATTGAAATGCAAATAAATTGTCCCTTGAGAATGCTAGAATGAGATGAAAACGTACTTATTAATAAAATGTAGCTTGTTGAAAATTCTTGGTAAATCACTGATTACTCTTTAAGCAACGTAAAATGTAAAATAAATTTGTAATAAAAATATTCTCATTTAATCGCTATTTAACTTGTGCAATACAAGATGGACAATTTTTGCAAATTACATCTGATGAGATGAATGTTGAAGAAACAGGTACCTAGATTAAACTTTGATGAAATATGATATTCTTCTCGCTTAGGAAATAAAAAAAGAAGGCATGTTGAGGTGTCAATTTAAAATTAGACCGCATCCCCATTTAAATTGATTACTCATATCAGATGAATGGAAATAAATTTGAAAGCAGCAGGGGATTAAACAGAGTTCATTTGATGAAATGCATTTTGCAACATTTTGTATGTCACTTTTGTATAACTTTTCTATAGTTCTTGTATAACAACATAATAATACACTTTATTTCTGATTTATGTAAAATTAAACCCGTTTTTCTTTATATATGGTCTGTGATATTAGTTTTCATCGTTTTTTATTTATTTATGTGCCATATTGTGAAAATAAATATCAAAAAAATCAAGGGGAGAAAAAAAGAAAGTGTTTCGCGTGAGAATAGAGGACAAGTTTGTTGAAAACTCGGAAAGCCTGGGGAGCTTTTTCACAATATTATTGTGCCCGCCCTGAGTGCGTATTACACACTAACACAAGTTACCTCTCTCCGTCGTTGTTATCGTGTGGTCTTTGTGTCTTCTGTCGCGTTCTCCACTCATTTACCGCCCTTTGTTATACTTTTATAGTGAAAAATAAAAACGACAACAATAAAGTCTTTAGTTTTAAAGATATAAAACTCGTTATGCATTTTGATGCGCTTTTCGCCATTTCCTCTCTTCCCCGCCTGACTTCCTTCGGCAGAAACAAAAACTGCTGATAAATTATTGAAGAAAGAAAGTGCTTTGGAGTCGACGGATGATTTTCTGATAAGATATCTGCTGGAGCGAAAATCAATTAAAAAGACACTTTAATTGCACCCAATCTTTAAAAACTGATTTCTCGACTCCATTAAATTGGATTATTTATCAAGTTCTCACAGAGCCTAAAATTGATGCAAATAAAAAATCTAATGTCCAGTCATTACGCGAGGAGTTACTCATTGCGCGCATTAATTGAGTGAGCGCTCGCGCCGAGGTGCGCAGAGGAAGTCCCTCAATTATGAATTTTCATGCCCGGCCAACCTCGAAGGAGATGTTTTGTTTGCAATTATTAAATAATTCACTGCATTCTCACTCAACCGTTTTTTCTTTCTCTCCTCATTTAGAGAGTTTTTTCTACGATTGAATTCGATTTGGACGTTTTGCGGCTGAAAAAAAAACAGCAGGGCGTGGAAATAGGAAAATGCGCCCGAGACCTCCAGGCGCGATAAGAACGCGAGCGGAGGAAGTTGCTCGCCGGAGTTCTTATCACGCCAGCGTATGCCACACATATAAACAGACTCGCACATTGTAGAATTAAAATTGAAATCAGGATTTCATGGCCCAATTACACCGCCATGCGCTCCAATGAACACAAAACACAGTGCTCGCTTTTGAAACGCGAGTCGGCACCTGCGAACTGATGCACCTTTTACGGAGAAAAAATAACTGCAGTTAAAATAATAAAAATGAGTTTCTCTTGTGTCTATCGTCCCGAGCAAGAATTGTTTTAGATAAAATATGACAAAAAAATTAATAAAATATTTAATTCATATAAATAATTGAGGTGAGATTTTTAGTTGGCTGTTAGTTTTTTTTTTAGTATTTTTAAATATTTCTATTTTCAAATTATTAATTTTGCATCATTATAATAAAAAAGTGGAGGAAAATGTAAGTGCAGGGTTAAATAGCTGTTGGTTGCACTCATTAAATTTCCCCCAGTCATACACATGTTGATTGTGATTTAATAAGACCCCGCATGTTGGATACTGCGGCCGTAAAAAGACTCTGTGTTGCGTCAATTTTGTCTCTGTCCGTCAGACGGCTGTGACTAAGCACTCGCCAGCTTCTTCGTGTCACTCACTCATTTTCCGGGAGACTCGGAGCAAAAAGTCACGCGTCAGCCGGTCCCACAACAGACGCCTCGATTTTCGGCAAATCATTTGTAAGCTGGTTGGTAAAATCAAAGAGCGGCGTTTTGAAAATGAAAAACGGCTTTTTTATTCTAGAGTTGTTTCATTATTTGTCACTCAATCAATAAAATAAAAAACAGCGATAGGGATCAATGGTAGAATACTGACAGTGGAGAATAATTTTCCGACTTCTTCCTCTTCTTTCCTCTGTCGAGTGTAGGATTATTTTTATTTATTTATATAAATCGTACGTTCGATACGTAAAAAGACTTGAGAAAAATGCGCCGTGAGCTGAGAAAAGAAAGATAAAAAGTGTTTCGCGCGCAGCAGGGATCCAAAATGAAGAGGCGGCTGTGACTCAAATTGGCACGTGGTTTTAAGTTTTTTCAATTTCCCCTTATCGTTTTATTATTTCAATTCACAAAAAAAGAAATTGTCCAGCAAATAGTAGTAGTTTATAGTAGTAGTAGTTTTCGATGTGATCTTAAATTAGAGCAGTACAAAAGGACCAAAAAACACTTCAAGTCACGATGATCAGCAACCAAATGCGCGTGTTGGCTTTTTTAATTTTGAAAATACTTTTAAATTATCACTTAATTGGCAATGTTTAAGGCCCTCCTGGGCTGAAATAATAACAAGCAAGCGACGTCCACAAGATCTTCGGCCGCTCTCCAACTGCAACAAACATCAGAATCTTAGAACATTTTTATTATTCAAACATTTCTTGAATTACTTTTAAACACACCATTTGAAAGAAAGAACAAAAATTTGCAAATCACTTGAAAATTTTATTGAAAATTTAATTAAAAAAAGCTACAACGGTTTACTTTGTTAGTAGGATAAAAAAAGTCTTCTGGATTCTTAATTTTTCAGCTATTCTTTCTGATCAATGATGGTGTTTTTCTTAAAAAAAAAGAACATTTTGACTTGGTACTGACCTCGACTGCTAGTATCCGCAGCCAACGAGATACTCTCCGAGCTTCTCGACGACCGAGGCCGCCTGCTGGGGCTGGATGGGGTCTTCGTAAAGGGCCACCACCACGGCCTGGGTCGTCTTCATGCAGTGTACGCCCACCTTGCCCAGCTTGGCGCGTACCACCTTGTCTGTGCCCGAAAGGTAGATGTAGCGGGTGCCGCCCAGCGTCAAACCCCCTGTGGTGAGCAGGTCTTGGCTGTCGAATCCGGCCACCAGCTTGGCTAGCTCATCCTTCATCGGCTGCAACCGCATCAACACACCCCCAGTTAGTTTCCAAAAGCGACACTCCGTAATTCTACATTTAAGTGCTTTGTTTTCTAGTATATTTTATTATTATTTATTCTACTCAAGTCATACAAAAAAAAAATTGAAATTGGAAAAATGAGCAGAAAGGGTATCACAACTAGCAGAGGTCTGCTAAAACGCCCGACATCAAAAGAGACAAAAAAAAAATTCATTTTCTTTTATTAGCCAGTTTAAATAAATTTTTAATAACAATTTTTTTGCAATTCAAACGGAGAAGTGGCAAAAATTATCAAGTAAATTGAACAATTAAAAAAAATTGCTTATTGTTTCACGCAGAAAATATGAATAGGGTTGGAAATTAATATTTTATTAGATATTAATTTGTTTAGGAATTAAAATATCACACTGGACTAAACAATATAAGTTTGATGGTAATAAAAAAAAAAATAAAAACGACAGACCTTTTCCAAACAAATAATGTCACAAATAGATTGGAATCCTCGACTAAACCTCTAATTTATTTAATTCTTTTAGCTTTAAAAAAGCATGAACTGAAACTAAAAAACTCGACTACGAGTTAAAAAAAATATAGCTTGTTGATTTTCTGCATCTGGCTTTATATTATATTTTTCTTCAAGGAAGTTCTGGTGAGTAATCTAATTTATTGACTGGGGTGGCCGACTGAGTGAGTTGCGGAACTGCGTGACTGTTTTGCGGGTGGCGCGAACCAGACAAGAGAAAGAAAGGCGAGCAGCTGTTTCATCTGCAGCATGCGTTTGAAGGGCAATTTGTCTCAAAATTTGCCGATTTTCAAATTAGGCACAAATGACACAAAATTATTAAGGAAGAAAATCTTCTTCTGCAAATGGGAATTCCTCAGAAATCAATTGAAATTTCTAGATATTATTTTAACAAAATTGAGGACAAATTCAAAAAAAATTTTTTTTTTTAATCCAGCTTATTTATGAAAATGAGTTTCTATTTAATGTTTTTAATCGGAAATAAAATAATAATTCCTGTAAAAACACAAATAAATATCAATTTTCAACCGCTTCATTTTTCTACGGATTCTCCTTCCATTCGAGAGGGAGAAAGCAATGCAACGTGGGGATCATTTGTTGCGTTCGGCGCAACCCCGGCGTCAATTGCGACGGGAAAAATCTCATTTTAAGTCGCAGCGTGGCCCCCAAAAACTAAAAACGTTGCATGATGTTTTATCTTCCAAGATCTATTTTTGAAATAGGGCGTGGCCAAAAGCGGTTCCGAGAGAGAAACGGTGAGTGTGCGAGGGACAGAAAATAAAATCGCGCTCAATTAACATGAGTTAAAAATTTGGAGCACTCTTGAGGGTTTACGACGTGCTGATCGCCCTCCTGCACTCGCGTTGACCACAGTCAACATTTTCGCGAAAGAAGAACGCACAGAGAGAGAAATAATAAAAATCGTCCAGCTTCGCGTGGCGGGAATTGATCACTTTGCCAGAAGTCTGTCCAGAAACAGGTTTTTGCCTTGACACGGACACGGCAGATCATTTTATATGATACAAATTTTTTTACAAGAAAAATCAAATTATAGTTGGTTGATTAGAAAAAGAAATACTTCTTCCAGGATAAATGCAATTTTTAAATGAAGGTCCTTTTTATTTACTTGGCGTGCCCGAAAATGCCAATTATTAGTCACAACACGAGCTGGAATAAATTTTTTCATCTTCGACCTCGCCGGATGTTTGCAAATTTAATCGCTTGCGGCCGAGGTCTTGCGTTTTAGCTTGAAATTTTACTCGATAATACAAACTGGATTTTGAAATTATTATTCAATATAACAATAGCGGGTCAAAAACCTGCGATACCAAAACAAATTGATTAAATTTTTAGATTGATCACACCAGATAAGAACATTAAATTAAAATAATTTTAAAAAAAAGGGGCTGGAAGATTTGGTGTGTCATTTTTTCGGTGGTTCTTTCCTCATGTGCAGGAGGACAGGAAAAAAGGCCTCCCGCGGTGAAACAGCGGCAATCCCGCGACCCCCATTGCCGACACAAATTCCTTGTCACTTCGTCACTCTCCGTCCTGTTGGTCAGGTAAGGAGGCCACGCGCGCCACAAATGGAAATGGGTCAGCTGGAGCGAAAATAAAGTGTGCCCAGAGTTTCTGGGCCCGTGGGCCGGTGGCTGAGTCAGCCAGTCACGAGTTGCAAATTGAAATTCGAACGCACGGGGCGACCGGCCCCGATCGGCGCGCGACCGCCCGAGCCGCCCAAATCAAGGGCGGCGGCTTCCACCTTCCAGCACGACCAGCCCTGCGTACCCAGGCCCTCCGGAGGCAGACGAAGGGCGGCCCAAAGGCCGGGGGCGCCGCCCTTACTTCGCCGGGGGCATGAGGCCCCGGGCGCGTGGCATGTGGCTCACCTCGAAGCCCTCGGACTTGGCCCACACGTTGCCGTCGTGTCCGGCGATGGCCGCCTTGGTGACGCACCGCGAGGCGAGCAGCTGCTTGTCCACGTAGTCCTGCCAGCTCATGGTGTGTGAGGGCCGAAAAAGCAACTCGAATTTGACAGAAGCGAAAGCACAGCAGTCAGTCTCGCCCGGCTGCGACTCTGAGAGGAGGAAGTAGTTCCCGCGGCGGAGCAATCGCAAAGTCCACTCCCATTTTTAACCCTTCTTTCTGAATTTATTTTTACCCAATGGGAAAACTAGTCGTTTTTGTTCGTGATTGTTTTTATTTTGCGGAATTTCCTTTCAACTCGGGAATTTTCGTTGTCTCCTGCAGAACTATTTCGCGTTCTCGCAGGTAGGGCAGATTAACCAATCGGAGGCCGCTGTCGAACCCACACCAGCCAATCACGAATTGGCTTACTCAGCATATTAGTCAGGATGCCCCGTTTCCTTGTCTACGATACCGTCTGGCCCAGTCTGACCGACCCCAAGGACTGCAGACGCACCCTTGACCCCCAAAAAGGAGTCATTGCTGTCTCTTGACCTCACCCTCACGTGCCGATTCTCCTAACATGCGATGCATAGCAGTGCATACAATTCTGCGCTCACTATAATCATTATTATATTATATTGATTTTTACATTGTGTGATAATTTCTTCTTTCTTATTCATTTTTTTTTTTGCATAAATAAATATAAAAATTAGAGGAACATGAAATTTTTTAAAAACGTGTATACTTTATTCAACATCAAGAGAGTTATGTTTTCATAACAAAGTGCTTGTAAATAAATTTGAAAAAAGCTATGGAAAAGTTTATAAAATTCGAAGTTACACATTAACTAAAGGTTGCAAAAAATCATTTACATATATTTAACAGATTGAATGGCAATTAAAATTATTGGAGACCCTGAAAGAAAATTTAATTGTAAATCATTGCAAATATTTTTCTACATTCAACTTTAAAGCTGTGGAAACTTAAAATCAATAATTTTCCTTCACTGCATAATTATTAAAGAAAAGAAATGTGAAATTAAAAAATCAATTCTTTAAAGATTCCAGAATATTTAAGGAAAAGGAATACAGGTATATTTAAATTTTCTATCTAAAGCAGCAATTGTTATATTTGAATAATTATTAATTAACAATAAAATTGTATGTTGATAAATGTTTTCGTTAAAATGACACTTATAAGTATTTATATACGTTTGCAGTAAAACTGAAAAGATAGCTTTAACTCTCTAATATTCCATCACATTAACCAAGTATATCTAAGTTTCCACCTGTTTGAGATTTTTAAATCTAAATATTTTTTTTCAAACTGAAGACAGTCATTTATTAGTATCTTTAAGTGAGGGAAAAATTGCCTAGACTTGCAATTCAGCCACAGCAGCCTGCTGTTGCTTCTCATACTCTTCTACTGCGGCCATGTTCACAATATCAATCTGTTGAAGATTTGGCCCAGCAAACTCGGTGTACAAGTCACTGCTGGCATCAGCACTGCGTTTATATACTGAAATTAAAACAAGAAAAATTCAAACTTTATTTCGATTAATCATTTCAATAATTACGAAGGTTGTGGTATTTGGCCAGCATGTAGGTAGACCTTCCGTAACATTCCCTGGTAATGTATTCTCCGAGTGGCTTGAAATTAGTCACAGCAGGGGTGACAACTTGCATGCGCTGTCTGATACGACCAATATCTATGTCGTAGTATCCTAACAATGATAAAATGTATCAATCTATAAAAGTTTAAAAAATAATATGTGATACCTTTGAACATTTTGTTGATCAGGTCAATCATGTCAGTCGGTGGGACAATCACCTTTCTGTCCAGGGGCATCACAAAGCACCGGTTTCGAGTTGTGTCGATGATTCCGGTCATGTTCTGAAAAGGTTTAAATTCTTATAAAAGCTGATGATATGCAGGTTTGTTTTCTACACACAGCATTGAAATCATGGATGAATCTGGCATCTCTGCCCCCTGAGAAGTCTGGCACCCTGATGCTGGCCGTGTTCCTGGCCTCATCGATTTCAAATTCCTCGTCAAAAGTGTTGCGACTGGCGACAGCATTTTCAGTTGAGAGACCGTAGGGCACATGGCACCAGGCCCTGAAGGACGTGTCGCGGTTCACAGAGCGGTAGATGAAGGTGCAGCCAATGATGCCAAAGCTGAGGAACATCAGGGCAGCCAAGAGCAAAACCCACGAGTTCCGCTTATGGTAGTTTCCAGGCACCACAACCGACTCGACATCCTGATCGTGCTGAAAACAAACATCGTTAGGTCATGTGCTAACAGGGGGCTAAACCGCTGATAAAAAAAACTGCCATTCGTCGGTGCGTATGACAAAAAACAAATATGTGTCTAGATTATGTAAGGTTCAAGAGAGCTCAAATTCACCTCGTTGATCACGAGCGGTTGCTCGAGCTTCTTCTTCTCACTGAACGGCTTGGTAATTATGGTCATTTTGCGACCTTCTGCGGTACAAACACAACGCAAATCGAGGAATGCTCGCAAATTTGATGGCGGAACTAGCAACTTCTAATCAATAACTACGCCTATGTATTCGCCTTAATGAAAACACGCAGAGCTACCAACAAGAAAATCGAGTTTGGGTGCAAAATGCGATGCAAGTGCCACACTGATGTGCACCGTCGGTGAACGCTAGAACTAACAATATGCGCACTCCACAGAGTTGGCGCACTCCTATTGTGCTTCTCGTCTCTTGGAAATATATGTTATGTGATATATTATTTTATTATAACAAAATTTTTACAAAGTTATGTTTATGATAGTCATTAAATTTTTTACTCAAGAATCCAATATCCAATATCCAATCCGTAATTCATTCTACTGGTAATTTAATTAAAATGATTGACTCTAGCCTGCGATAAAGCAACAACCATCCCGCCAAACATACAGTTGGTAGCTCTTAACAATTGTCCAATAGAAGATCATCATGATCACCAGTCCGACCAATCAGTGATTTTGCAATGTGATGACTCAAATGCAGCTGATTTTGATTATTTTATCGTATTTTATAATATTTTACGACAAGGCAAGTTGGAAACTGCTTAATTTCCCTTTTCTTATTCCTTTTTTTGGCTTTTTATCAGTTGAATGTTGCGTTAATAGCGTTTTATCACTTTTGCAGACGCGGGGCGACATTTCACTCTGCATCATTCACCTTTGAAGCACAAAACCCTTGAGTGATCGCCGTGGCAAATGCGACCGCAACTAAAAAGACCTTCAAATGGATGAAACTAAATAACCATTGCATTTCTTAATATTCCTCCGCAAAGACCCAGTAGAAGATTGACAGAGATGGACTCACCAGCCTCACTAATGGACGTCCCGCTGGGAATCAGGACGGTTCAGTGGATTTCTCGGAAGTGCTGCCCTTCCGTCAGAATCAACAAGCCCATCTGGTGTTTATTATTATTATTATTTTTTATGTCAACGAAATTCATTTGAAAAATCATCAATTTATATTAATTAATTGATTTTTTTATAGCTATCGCTTCCTGGTCCTGATCCTGACCTATCTTGCTTACACGTCTTACCACTTGTCGAGAAAACCCATCAGCGTAGTCAAAGCAGTTCTCAATCAAAACTGCAGCAGTTTAGAACCACCTCCTGGTGTATTTGTAAACTCGACCAACAAAAACAACTGGTGTGATTGGGCACCTTTTGGTAAATTCCAACTTAATTTTATTTTGGATAATTTACATATAATTTTTTTTTCAAATTCAGACGGCCAAAATGCCTCTGCACTTCTCGGAACTTTGGACTCTGCCTTTTTATTTGCCTATGCTGCAGCTATGTTTGTTAGGTAAACAGGAACTCATATTTTTAGAAGCTAAACACTTATGGAAGTTGATTTTAGTGGCTTTGTAGCAGAAAGAGTGAACCTAAGATATTTCCTTTCGCTTGGGATGATATTTTCGGGCATATTTTGCTATATGTTTGGAATCGCCTATTCATACAATATTCACAGTATTTCATATTTGATCACTGTTCAGGTGAGTTTTGAAATTTTTGTTCCAATTGAATATCATTTCCATTTTATTTCCTAGGTCTTGGGCGGCATTGCTCAAACTACAGGTTGGCCTGGTGTGGTCACTGTGGTGGGAAACTGGTTTGGAGAAGGGAAAAGAGGTGCACTAATTTTTTCAAATTTTGGTTTATAGAAATTTTTTCTATTAATAAAAATACTTTAGGTTTGATTTTTGGCATCTGGAACTCTCACACTTCAGTGGGCAACATTCTTGGCTCTCTGGTGGCCGGCAGCTTTGTGGACTCGGACTGGGCCCTCTCCTTTTTTGTCCCGGCCTTAATCATGGCTGGCGTCGGTTTCATCATTTTCCTCTTTCTACCTGCTGAACCCATCGAAGTTGGATGTCCTCCCCCTGAGAGGCCAGGCAGCAGAGTAAGCAACTGGATTAATTAGGCTTTGTGCTCTTCCACACATGCACTTGCTAATAATTTTTTTTCAACACCACACCGGAGCGCATGTTGCGAAATCTGAAGGCTGATTATCTCGTTGCAGGTCAACAGCCAGTACCGCCTCCTTTTACCCAATTCCATGCATGCTGCTAGCAGCTCCCCCGTAATTACATTTTATTTTTTCAAATTTTTAGCTTTATGCACACTTTCAGTTTTTATTTTTCACTCAAACTTTTTTCAATTTCTCACTTTACCTCACTCACAATCAGTCGGTGCAGCAGAGGAGCTACAGGAGGATCGTCAACCCTTCCAACGTCAGCTCTGAAGAGGTGACTTCTGACAGTGAAGCTGAAACGCAACCTGAGGCTGATGTGAGGGAAATAATGTGTTATAATATTTTGTTTCCACTGTTTGTATGTTCTAGGAGTCAAATTTAAAAGACGACAATGCGCTAATTTTTGAGCCCAAAGCCATCACCTTTTTCCAAGCGCTCAGTATTCCAGTAATAAAATTGATTCTTTAAAATATTAATTGATATACAAATATAATGTCTTCTAGGGAGTAATTGAGTTCAGCTTGAGTTTGTTCTTTGCAAAACTCGTCAGTTACACATTCCTTTACTGGCTGCCCCTTTACATACATAACGCCTGTAAGTAATTAAGGATTGTGTTTACTTTGATTTCACCAAAAATGCTTTTTAGCCGGGGCTGGAGCAGAAATGAGCGCAGATATTTCTGCAATATTTGACATTGGTGGAATATTTGGCGGAATTGCGGCAGGTGCCATAAGTGACTCATCGGGAATGAGTGCCACAACGTGTGCTGTGATGCTGATCCTTGCAGTGCCGTCCGTAAGGATTGAAATTTAAGCCTAATAATATTATTTATAAAACTCAAATTCCTCTAGCTTTTTGCCTACGAAATTTGGGGTAATCTTGGCTTGAGGATTTCTGTTCCTCTCCTGATTGTGACCGGCGCCCTCGTCAATGGCCCTTACTCCCTTATCACCACTGCCGTTTCGGCCCAGTTGGGAACACATCCCTCTCTGGAGGGGAGCAGCAAGGCTCTGGCCACAGTCACTGCCATTATTGACGGAACTGGTTCAATTGGAGCAGCTGTGGGTCCACTTCTGGCTGGTGTGATTTCTTCGACTGGTTGGAAAAATGTATTCTATATGCTCATGATCTCGGACGTTCTGGCTCTTGTGGTTAGTATCCCATATTTTAATCAATTCTAAGCTGATTTTACTACTTTAGTTGTTGGGACGCTTGGTGCTCATGGAGATGCGCAATTGGCTTAGAACAAGGGCTGCCTTGCAGAGACCTCACTCAGGAGGAGACTGGAGCTCCTGACAAGAACTGACATAGACCAGATTTTTAATATTTAAGAAATTTCAACGCAAAAGTGGCTTTTAATTGCCTTTCTACTAATATGATTGTGAAAACTGGGAAAGCTTATATGAAATGTTTTCTGTCAGAATTTTAGGTTGTTTTATCTTTTGTCACTCTAGCTGTGGAATATTTGTCTCTGCTTATGACTCTGCCGTAAATAATATAATATATTGTGACGGTCAATGTAGAGCCTATTTTATTATTTTTACTTACAAGAAGGCTTGATGTGTAATTTTGATATTTGCAAATTTATCTTTAAATAATGATACAATAATTAAGAGAACTTCTAGTTTACCAATAATATGAGATAATTTATATGAATAATCTTCAATTACGCTCAATGTATATTAAACGATTTCTTGTTAAATAAAATTTTTATTGCCTGAAAAAAGTAATTTTATATTTTTAATTATTTTAATATATAAGCACTATTTGATATTTATGTGTAAAATTTTTTTCATAATAATTATACTGTTTTATTCATTCGTCCTGTGTGTATATTGTGTCAAAAAATGATAATTCAAAATTTTTATTATACATACAATATGGACAAATAAACAACAATAAAAATGAGAGCTGATCAGCCCAAACCTATGTTTTAAATTAAAAATAGCAAAACTCTAAACTGAAGTGCATCATTTATCATTTACTTTTTGGTCTTTTTGCATCAATTAGAACGAAAATTTTATTCCACAATAATACATAAGCACAATAAAAATATATTTATATATATGTATTTATGCCATTCTGCATCTTGTGAGAATTTTATCAAGTTGGTATCACTTATTCAACATGGTTTCCATGTAAACAGCACATTTGACCGTCGCCGTCAATCCTGCCTCGTCTGCAAGGCATTCCCTCACCAGTTGTAGATCTTCGGAAGCATTTTAACTCTGGAATATATTCCGTAGAGTTTCCTCTCCGCATCCATACCTAGCTCAGGATGGAGAAAGGTAATTTAGCAATTATTTCCTCATCTAAAATGACCATTAAAAACGTTATCTTTTGGCTGATAGGTGTCGAAGAAGCGCTTTCTCCAAACTCCGGGGAAAACTCAAACAGCAGCAAAATATCTGCCGATAATAATAGGTTAATTTTTTTATCCCTTCATAGTCAAATAGAAAATTCATTTTGTATTAATTCAATTCATTATTCAATTAGGCATGCTTCGAGGTCTCCCAAATCTGCCAACAGTTCTCCAGCAGTTTCGCGAAATGGATCTGTGTCTCCGGCTGGATCGAGGAACGCTTCAAAATCTCCTTCTCGATCGCGCAGTGCCTCGCCAGAAAATATAAAATCACCAGCCTCGGAAAAGTGATGACTTTCCTATTATAAATTTACAAACATGAAGATAACCTAATTTTTTTTTCAAAGGTCAAACGAGCGTGGCTCATCTTCACCGATGAGGTCGCCACAAGGCTCTGAAACCTCCAGGAAGAATGGTGGAGAATCGCCTCCAAGCAGGCAAGGATCAGCATCTCCAAGGTCATCAAGGAAAGGCTCGGCTTCACCAGCTGCATCCAACAGGTCAAGATCCGGCTCGCGATCACCCTCTGGATCAAGGAAAGGTTCTGTAGCTGGCTCAAGAGCCTCATCTCCTAAGTCGCCGAGTGGATCTCAGCGGGGCTCACCAGCTCCTTCTAGGTCGCGATCCCACTCAGGTTCCAGGGCGTCCCGATCTCGCAGCAGGTCAGCTAGTGGTTCCAGAAAGGGCTCTCGATCCCCAAGTGGTTCTAGGAAGGGATCAAGATCACCGAGTGGTTCAAGAAAAGGGTCTAGGTCTAGGAGTGGTTCAAGGCGGTCCGCTTCACCTGCTGGATCAAGGAAGAACTCAAGGTCACCCTCTGGCTCTAGGTCCAGGTCTAGATCTGCTAGTGGTTCCCGTCGTGGCTCAAGATCAAGGTCAGGCTCACGCCGAAGCTCTAGGAGCAGGTCAGCCTCGTCTAGAAGAAGCTCACGGAAAGGTTCAAGATCTAGGTCTGGATCTCGAGCCAGGTCGGGCTCTCGCCATGGATCAAGATCACCCTCGGGCTCGAGAAAAGGCTCAAGGTCCCGTTCAAGGTCTGCCTCGGGTTCAAGGAGGTCACGGTCTGGATCAAGGCGCAGTTCAAGATCAAGGTTAGTGCCAAATAACAAATTTGCGATGATTCATATATTATATGTATTTATTTTTGCCATCACTAATTTAAGGTCTGGTTCACGCTCTCGTTCTGGATCTCGTCGTAGCTCTCGCTCTAAATCTGGCAGCAGATCCAGATCTCGTTCAAGGTCTGGTAGCCGCCGTTCTAGATCAGGCTCTCGGTCTAGATCAAGGTCTCGTTCAGGCGCAGGTAAAAATCCCCCAAATTTAAAATTTCATTTAATTGGAAGATAACGGAAAATTAAGTTAAAATTTGTTTGAATTTTTTTAATAGTCTTATCTTTGGACTGGCATTTTTTTTTTGCACCTCATAATTTATTTTCATTAATGATTCTTCACAGAGTCTGAAATCGAAGAGAGGCGGTCGGTTGTGGACTCGGATGAGGAGGGAGGCATTTCTGTTGGCAAGAAGAAACGGAAGCGTCAGGCCTTGAGTGATGATGAAGCGCCACAACCAGAGGCTGCAGGCGCTGAGGAAGGAGAACAGGAAAAAGTGGAGGCTCCCGCAGTTGCTGCAGATTCAGACTCAGACGAAGGTCCAATTGATGACAGTGGAAGAGATACAGGTCTCTCAGATTTTGAGATCATGCTGCTGAGGAAGAAAGAGGAAGGGGGTCGAAAGAGACGGCGGAGAGACATAGAAATCATTAATGACAATGATGACATGATTGCACAACTGTTGTCCGACATGAGATACGCGGCAGAAGAAGACCGCATGCTGAACATGGCCAAAAAACCAGCGACCAAGAAAATCGCCATGCTTCCCAAGGCTCTTTCCCAGATCAAGAAAAGAGACCTCCAGTTGGCCTTTGTAGAACATAACATGCTGGCCATCCTCACTGAATGGCTGGCGCCAATGCCGGACAAATCACTCCCAGCACCAAAAATCAGAACTGAAGTTCTTCGGCTTCTTCGAGAAGTAAATTTTAACTCTAATGTACGGTTAAAGATGTTGATTTAAAATTATTCTTGCAGTTTCCATCTGTTGACCAGCAAACATTGAAGCAGGCGGGAATTGGAAAGGCAGTTATGTATTTGTACAAACATCCAAAGGAAACAAAGGAGAATAGAATCATTGCTGGAAAACTAATCAACGAATGGGCCAGACCGATCTTCAACGTCTCTGCAGACTTCAAAGGTTTGATTTTCGCAACACAAAGTATATGAAATTTAATTTATTTTCTTAATAGCAATGTCAAAAGAGGAACGTGAGCAGAGAGATTTGGACCAGCGTCCCAAGAGGCGCCGGGCTTCAGACTATGACGGAGGTGAGGGCCCGTCGAAAGAAGAACAGACAATTGGAATGAAGGGGGATGGAAATACTCTCAAGCCAGGAGACCCTGGTTGGGTGCCTAGAGCTCGTGTGCCAATGCCATCAACAAAAGATTATGTCGTCAGGCCCAAGTGGAAAGTTGACACCGATATAAGCAGAGTATGAATGAAATATTTCAAGGCGCGGGAAAAATTAATTTAAATATTTTTACAGACAACCAAAAAGCAGATGAATAGATTTGAAAAGCACCTGAAAAATTTCCAAGACATGAAGAGGAATAAAGAGGCTAAACGAGCTATAGATATTTCCATCGAGGGCAGGAAAATGGCACTATAGAGTATTCTTGTGATTTTCCTATCATCACAAAGGCTGCAAATTATTAGCTTTTAAGTTTTAATGCATGCATAAATTAATTAAGCAGGCTGAAGTATTTTAAAGAATGTGCTTTGCCGCCGTGCAATCTATAAATAAATATCTTTGTATTTGAAGGATTTATTTTTTTGCTTTTAATCTATAAAATAAAAATGGGCGGATGATATACATTTTATGATTAAAAGTAACTTTTTTTTAGATAATTGAATCTTTATTAAACGTTAATATTTTTTAAATTAATATTGAATAATTGTTTTCTATTTCTTTAAAGAGGAGGATCAGGAGGCACAAGTGTAGGGAATCCAAATGATGACCAAAGACCGTTGGCTGTTGAAACAAGTTCGATAATTTGCTCTCCCATAAATTCTCTGGATGAAATGTTCTGTGAAATATAATTTTACTTGTTGAATTTTTTCAAACTAAAACTCACGCTTAGGTTGCCTCTGATTACTGGCAAACCATGCTTTGCTGCACTCTGGAAAACAGCTTCGTAGCTTACGGAACTATTTGAAGATTGCAGTTCAACGGGCAAAACTAACGCCACTTTTGATCCCTAAAACATATTTACTTTGGCAACCGAAATTCAAGTTAAATAAGAAACTCACCAATCGGTAGTGTTGGTCTATTAAACTCAGTTGAGTTTCAAATATGTCCGAGATAATATTCAAGAACCGATCTCTTAAATCATGCACCAAAATGATGTAGTCAAAGCTCAGATCGATCTCTTGCTGAATCAGGACGGCGATATTTTGCACCAAATGAATTTCAAAGACGTCGCCAATTTTATTACTCATTTCGATCATTGCCTCCCTCACATTTTCGCAAAGCTCTTTCTTTCCAACTAGCTGCAACAATGTTAGTAAAATTGAAATTGAGTTTTCATGAGTGCAACTTTATTCATACCAAAATGTGGATTCGAAAATCAATGTAATTTTTGCTGGCGTACTTGATGCAAGACATTATTCTGTTATTTCAGGGATTTACCTGCATAAAAACCAACCGCAAAGTAACATTAAATTTGGTATTTTAGATTTATTATGACAGTTCCATCCATAACAGATGATTTTAACGCGCCTTTTGATGAAAAAGTGTTGGCCTGTTGGGGGAAGAGGGGAGAGGATTTAGAGGGGAGGGGCTTGCAGAATTGTTATTTTAAAGACAATACTGCCATCTAGTGGAAGGTCGTGCGTTGGGAGATTTTGCTATGCAGATTTTGCTGTTTTTCTTGTGCTTTCTCAATTAAACGTGTTTTGTAGCAAAAGTTTGGAAAAAATATTTGACTTTAAACATTTTTGTTCAACGATAGGAGCAGCTTAAGAACTTATCGTTGAAAAATCACAGTAAAAATGTTTAAATTCGTCGGAGTTTGCTCTAATATTTTCTCAACTTTCTCAGGTCTGTAATTAATTTTACAATACATTTTTATCGGTTTGAAGATAATGGCTGGACTGACAATTCACTTTTATTTCAGAACCGATTATTCGGAATGCTAGCTCGCTGTTCCGGATGCACAGGACCGGTCCTTTATTCAAAATCAGGCCTCCAAGACAGCCTTTGGATGGGAAGCCAATGGCCAAGGGTCTTGTCCTTCGAACCCTGATCAAAAAGCCAAAGAAGCCGAATTCCGCCAACAGGAAGTGCGCCCTGGTTCGACTAAGCACGGGTAAAGAAATGGTGGCCTACATCCCTGGAGAGGGTCACAACTTGCAAGAACACAACGTGGTGCTAGTGCGGTGCGGTCGAACCAACGATTTGCCTGGTGTCAAAATCAAGTGCATTCGAGGGAAATATGATCTAGCACATGTGATTAAAAAGACAAATTAGATTTTAAAATGTTATGATAAAATATCTAGTGATCATTAAAAAAATTAAAATACAATCGCTTTAAGTGAGCATTTTTATTAGCAATCATTTTTGGATTCAAGTCATCTAGTATATAGTTATATATAGCGTGTATATGTTTCTCCTGTCAAATTCTAAAGGCCGCTTGCCTCAGCTACAAATTACTATCAAAATAATCGATATCACATCATTATTCTGTCATGACAACAATAATTAATCCAGCATAATATATATTACAAAATTTGAAAGCTGCAGAGTGATAAATTTTTCCTCAAACATTCTAATATTCATCCGTATAAGACTAATTGTAAGAGAAAAAACAGTAATTATTGTAAACGTAAAAAGCAGGGTGGTTAAGAACTAATCATTAAAGGCATTAAAATAACTTGAAACTGACAAACTGACCATCTTCACTAACGAAACTGAGAGAACATTTCAAGAGGCTATCACGATAAATCTTCCACTCTTCCAATCATTCCAAACAGTCTAAGTAAAAATTATCACAATCTTAATAGATAACTGCTTTAACATTATTGCTAAAAAATCTTTACAAAATAAATAATAAAGCAATTGATTTTAACTTGAAGTAACAATGTTGCGCAGATCCGGGGCAGAAAGAGGGATCCTACAGTTAGGGCATTTCCTGTCCGGGAACTGAAATAATTATCAATTTCTATACATTTGAAGTTAAATTTAGGTAGCGCAATATACCTGAATCAATCTCTTGGCGCATATAATGTGAAACTCATGACCACATTCAAGAACTAAGCTTTTCTTGATGATGTCGTCAAGGCAAATGCTGCACTCCTCGCTCCTCTTGTTTTCGATTTCGGCTCGGTCTTCTTTCTTGATCGGTTCCCAACAAACAACGCACACCTCAGGACACTCCTAGAAACAGAAATTGTAGTTGAAATATAAAATTGGTTGAGGCTCTATATAAGAATTGACACAATAATTAAAAATCTAGAATAATTGTGTTGGCGATCCAATAGGATTTTTTTTTAAACTTATTAAATAAAAAAATACTGAATCTTTCAATTTACCGGAGCCATGTCATCTCCATGCAGGTTCATGAGGCAGGCCTTGTGATATGTATGGGTGCAGGGCAAAGTCAACATCTCGCCTCTCTTCTGGCACACTTCACATTTCCTCCTGCAACACAATTCAATCAGATTCAATAAAATTTTTAAACTTTTTGGCAACGGCTTTCCATTTTTTTTTTTTTTTTTTTTCAAAAAGTACATATATATGTACTTAAAAATATACATACTGCCTGTGTCGGCTGGAGGTATTTGAGCCGTTCCCTGAGGACCTGTCCCTCTGCCTGTAGCGATTTGGTGCCGTCCCGTTGAATGTAGCATACAGGGTGACAGCGATCGCGGCGATGGCTCCGAGTGCCAAGGCGGCGAACGTGTACTGCGGAAGGACCATCTTGCCCTGAGGAGGGAGGATGCCTGGCTTAACCAGCCGTTAATTGGAATTCATTCGAAAATTGTTATTCCTAAAAGCACCAATTTTGCGTTCCAAGTATGTGACGCAGGGAGTGTGTTATTATCAGACATCAGACTTCAAAGATATAAATAGAGGACAGGCAGCGTTTAAGCGAATGGGATACAGAAACCTGCCATGATACAAGAGCGCTGTTTTCAAATCGAGGCGCGCACCAGAGATTTTTGAATTGAGAATTTGTCTTGAAGAACTATATCAATGAAATGTGTTAATTTATATAATTTTTATATAATATCAAGATAATGATCAATGGCGAATCTGCCGAATCTCACTGCCGATTATTCAAAAACGGTTTAGAGGAATCAAACACCATCATTTTTTGATTTGGCAATTTAGAAATTTTCATTACTGGATACTATATTTTAATGATTGCTTTTCACACAATATAGCAGAATTTTCATTTTTTTTTTGTTGGAGGCGTTAATTAATATATATTCTATAACATGACAATATTAGTTATATAATTTAATTAAGCGTGATCACCCTTTGTAATTAGTGCAAAATCTATATGTACTCCTGTTCACTTCTCAGTCATAGAAAGCTTCAGGATTTGTTCCATAATGCGATCCTCCTCTTCTTTCTGCCGCGCGCTCTGGTCCTGTTCCTGCTGCGACAACAGGAGAGCCAGTTGCAGGTCTGGATCAAGGCCTTCAGCTCCGTCCGGAGGCTCCCTGCTCTGTGGCGGGGACGAGGATCCAGCAAGGTGTGCCAAACTAGCTTGAATAGCCCTACACAAGCACACAAGTGAAATTCGAGAAAAGCTACAAGCCTTCTAATGATGATGAAACTTTAATTAGTGTAATTTGGTAAAATCATGAATAGGGGTTATTCAAATTTAAGAAATACAAAAATGGAAAAAGCAGCATTTTGGAAATATTTTAGCTTAGAAAATCAACGATAGCGCCTGGGAGTTTCAGGGGCAGAGGAGGGTCGGGCAGGGGATTTTGGCACTTGCAACGAGAACCGTCTCAAATTTGGGCTGTTGCTTGCCGATTGTCTGAGGCATGATAAAATTTATATTATCCATTTCAGATTCAACTGAGAAAGTTATACCTTTGCAATTGTCTTTCCTCTTCTGCTTGCAAGGTGTTCAACGGGGCAGGTTGGGAGTGTCGACGATCACTTTTCAAAGCTTCCCAAATGTCCACCTGAATTCAAAATTTAATATTTTTTTTTTTTTTTCAACAAAGTCTAAATAATTTTACTTCATCGCCCTCAGTTCCTGAATCCAAGAGGCTCTGCTGAATGGCAAACTGGAGGAGCTCATCTTCATCCTCCATGCTGAACTGTCTACGGCCGTCTCCTCCTTGTGGAACATAGCCTGGTGGTGGCTCAAAACATGACTCGTTCAAAACACAGCTCAAATTATCTTCATCACCAACACGGCTCACTCCGGGAATTTCTTCGTCCATGCCAAAAATGTTTCCAAACGTGATTCTGGCATTCAAAACGTGGAACAGTGGAATCTCTGTTTAAAGATAAAAAATTATTTGATTCCATTTGCATCAGATAATATTTAATTTACCAATTTTGACGGGGAAGCCAGCAGGTAGTTGCATTTGTATGAAATCCTTAAGTTTTGCAAAGTGTGTACTAGATATAGCCATGAGATCCACAATGGGCATGATTTGTTCTGGCAGAGTTAGAGGGTACTTTTCGGCAAGCCACAAGTTTGCCTAAAATGAAAAGCAAATTAAAATTGGTCTCATTCACAACTTGATATAAAATTACTCTAAACTTTTGGATCTTGGCATGAATTTCTTTTGGCCGCCCAATATCTTTGCCTTCGAGATCAATGGTCGAAAAGTAATCCTGGACAGAAATGTTGCATGGATTTCCTCTATATTTTACTTCCTCCTGTGAATAAAATATTATTGTTAGGGAATAAAATAAAATTTTAAACAGTCTACCACATGAATATCTTCAACAGGGGAATGTGTTCTCTCCTCAGTCTCAGCAATGCCGAGGAATGACTGCAGAGCTGTTTTGGGCATGTGAATTTTGGATTTGTCAGCTGCCGACAAATGCTCCATCCGAGTTTTCGTAACAAGCTCCACATTATTGGCTGAGAAGACTTTGCACTCGTGGCCGTTGACTTCCTCCAGCTTGTCAGCTCGCCAGCCCCAAATGCCGCTTTTGTTCCGTTCAAAGCTGATTTTCTCCGTGTCGATGTACGTGGTGACAATTGGAGTGGTCAGTCGAGAGCTGATGGCTCCTTCGCTCGGATGCAGACTCAGCAAGTCTTCTGGACTGATTATTTTCATTTGCTCACTGAAAACTTCTCTCTTCTCATGATCTACTTCAATCATCAGTGCAGAATCACCTGGTGAATTAGATTTTTTGTTTATATTTGGAGTTTTCAATATTTAATTATCTTCTTCAGCGGTAAAAAATAAAAGCAAAGCAGCTGGCCAACTACCAATCACCTGCCGCCAACAGCTTGAAAATATAGCTGCGGTCGCAACGAAGGACACGAGGAGTGGCCATTGCTTAAAAGACATGCACAAATGTTTCAAATAAAAATAGACTTTGGTTAGTTTTCTCCTTTACAATATGATTTGCTTGAAACTAAGCTTACTTTGTCCTTTGAAGATGTAGGTTTTGTCTCCTCTTTGCCAATTGGTGTGGTCAAAGCCCAGGAGGGTAGTGTCTATGCGGACATTGGAACCTTGCTTGTAAACCTTGTAAGTGTCACTAGGGCACATTCTTGACACCAATGGCACTGTAAAAAAATTAAGTAATTAAATAAGGTTATATATATTTTATATTAAATATATTCAGGGATTATTTTACTTCATTTTCATCCACTATTATCCACTTCATCTTACCCCAACTAGTGAATTCCCATTTCATTTCAACATAAAAGTCTGGAACATCCTTCAACTTTTGCAGTAGCTCAGGAACACCTCCAATTCTGCTGGAATACCTCTGAAAGTCTCTCTTTTCCAAGACCATTTGGAGCAAGTCGGGGTCTCCGGTTGCCGTTGCCTCTTGGACCACTAAAATATTTAATATATAAAATTATTTTTTTGAGAAAATTATTTATATACCAGTCCAGAATTCTCTGTTTTCGGTGTTAACATTTGCACCGTGGTTCAGAAGGACCCTCACTGACTCAAGGTGGCCAAGGGTGACGGCCAGCATGAGAGGCGATCGACCCCTTGGATCTCTTTTCTCCTTGTCTTCCTGCAGTTAAAATAGTTAATCAACGGTTGACATGTGCAGAAAAAAATTTTGCTTATCGGCTAAATGCGCGCTTTAAATTTTCCACCGTGCATAGCCAATGAGAGAATGATATAACAAAAAAGTAAAGTGGGGCGATAGTGCGGCTTCTTGTCATGATTCCAAATCATTTTTAGAGCTTCTCGCCCGAGAAGCAAAGCGACTGCTGAAAATTCGGCCATCACATTACTAAGACACTCTTTGAAATTAAGTGCAAAAAAAAACTGCTGAAAATAAAGCGTATGTAGATTTATTCAAAATTATGTAAAAAAACAAGATTGATAATTTAAGTGCAAATTTACACATGAGAAATTATTAAATAATTTTAAAAGCATAATAAACGGTGCAATTTACGCTTAAAAAGTTTACCAAAATTTTGCTTGCAAATTATATGCATAAAATGGCTTATCTAATCATACAAAAAATTGCAAAACTTTCATACAGTGGTGCAAAAAGTTAGCAAAAATTTGAAAGACCAAATTTCTGATCGCGAAGAGGGCAGATTTGATTATGAAAATAGTTTGATTTTCTCACCGTCTTTTTCTTAAGTGCTGCATCGAGCTGAGCGTACTCATTGTGCCAAACGTGCCAATGCAGAGGATACTGTCTCTTTATCGACTCGGTCATTAAAAATTATCTGCCTGCAGCAGCTCTTGACGACTGATGCGAAATTTGCCGGCGTTGCACCTGCGAAGTCTCAGCGGCTCCCACCTATACCGATCGGGGATGAATTTGTTTTGCTGTGTTTTTTATTGTCCCATTGCGACAACTCGACGTCGGAGAACTTGCATCGGAGGGTGGAATAAAAAAGAACTAAAAGAAGCAGGAAGAAGAAAGGAGGAGAGATTGATGAATCAGATCAGATGAAACTTCCATGACACTCCCCATGCTGCCAACATAACATTATAAAATAAATTTCTTGAAATATTTCTCACACATACAAACATTCAAAGCTGCTCTTGATTAATATAATAAAATTTTGACCTGTTAGAATTAATTTATAACGATTAATTCTGATTTAGTTGAGATTGTATTAATATTTCTTCAATTTACATTAACTGTTACGTTGGTAATAAAAAGTGCCACTCCTCTTTTTCAGCTACCCCTCCTTCCCCGAAAGTTGTGTGGTTGGTGTTCCCCGCATCATTGAAGAGAAATATTTATTTTTAAAACCTGAGCTCAAAATTAAGCGTGAAACGGTGGTTTTTGGCATCGATCGGCTATCGAGATGGACTTCACAGCAGAGCTTTAGTCGAACTATGTCGGTCAGAGGCAAATTGAGAGGCGTTTCGGACGTGTGCGGTGATTGCGGGGCTCTCGGTGAGTCTCAATTTTGCACGTCGAAGTAGACGGCTAAGACGGCCTTAAAATTCGGGAGGTGTTGTAAACTTTTATGCTGCGCCTTTGTTTGCGATGCCTGCCCACTCTCGACGTATCATTTTGTTTCCAAAGATTATACGCTTTTTTTGTCTCAGATCCGACGTGGGCTTCTATCAACCGAGGGATTCTACTGTGTGACGAATGTTGCAGCATCCACAGAAGTTTGGGCCGTCACATCTCTCGTGTCAAATCGCTGCGACGCGGAGCATGGACCCCCTCACAACTTAGTGTAATTATTATTCAATTATATCATAATTCTCCTGCAAAAAATAAAATGTTTTAACAAAAAGTTGTAAATTACATTGTTTAATTTTTTTAGATGGTGCAAACTTTGAACAGCAATGGTGCTAACAGCATCTGGGAACATTCTCTGCTTGACCCAACCCACGCCAAAACTGGCAGAAAGAAACCTCAGCCAAAGGACCCAGTCCAGTAAATTTTTGGAATTGCATTATTTAATTTAAAACTAATCAATAACCTCACAGCCCTACCAAAGCCGACTTCATAAGAGCTAAGCATCAAATGCTGGCGTTTGTCTATCGCCCGTCGAGGGAGGAAACTCAGTCTGAGGACGCAGATCTAAGTCGTCAGCTTCACTCAAGCGTCCGAACCGTCAATCTGGAAACCAGTCTTAGAATGCTAGCTCAAGGAGCCGACTCAAACTTTTTACATCCGGTAATTATTCTGTAAAACTGGTTTGCTTTCTCTAATCGATATTTATTTTGTAGGAAAAGGGCACTCGTCCCTTGCATGTGGCGGCCAAAGAAGGTCAGGGCGGGCAAATCGAGTTGCTGCTTGTGTACGGCGCAAACCCTATGGCTGGCGACATCATGGGCAACACGCCGGCTGACGTGGCCAGGATGTCTGGTCACCCAGATCTTGCCAACAGACTCATCGAGTGCAGCTATGAGTTGACAGATCGACTCGCCCACTACTTGTGTGGTCGTCTTCCTGACCACTCTAATGGACAGCATTTCATCGTGCCAGAAATGTCGGACAACGTTGATCACCAAGATCTGGCCAAGGCAGCTAGAAAGAGGCTTCAAGATGTAATAATTTCCTAAATTTTAATTTGCCAATTTAACTTTTTATTGTGCTTAAATTTCAGCTGCCAAACCACCTGTTTGAAGAACTAGCAACTGATGTTTATGATGAAGTTGATAGAAGAGAAACTGAATCAAGTGAGTTTGGTCTCTTAAAGTCATCTAATAATTTGCAGTGATTACATTTCAAAATAATCATGCTCATCAAAGTCTATTCATCAGCTTGGGCAGCACTTCAGCCAGCTCCATGGCCCTCTCCAGACCGCAGCATCGTGCCTTTTCTTCCTGTAAACCCCGAGTTGTCGGCCACTCGGAACCAAGGCCGTCAAAAGCTGGCGCGCCTCAACGCACGAGAATTTGCAATTTTGATCATCGACATTCTATCTGATGCTAAACGACGCCAAACTGCAACCGCCCTGCAAGGAAAAAATCAACTAGGGCGGCGCTCGGAAGTATCAGATGACGAACCTCTTTACGATAGTGTTGCTTCAGACGACGACTATGTGACCGCCGCCTCAATGGACACCCTGTCGGCGCTCTCGGCCGTCCCGTCCTTGGCTCAGTCCAGCTCTGATGAAAAAGAGGCCACGCCACCCGCAGTTGTGAATCCAATTTCCAACGGAGAGTCTCGCGTGGAGGATTTGCTGAAGAAGCAACTTGCATGTTCGGAAAACAGGTTGGACACGATGACCCAGGAGATAAGGGCCCTCCAAGCAACGGTAAGAGATGGACACTTAAATTGGTGGAATGTTGGGTCTTGAGGTTGTTGGGTCGGTTCACAGGTGGCTAGACTGGTGCAGAGCAAAAGCAACGACAACATCCCCATTCAGCTGCAGACCCAAGTGGGTGTTCACTGTTTGCATGTTCAAGTAATTGCATGACTTTGGCTGATCAAAAATTATTCTGAGATTTGTAGTTTTCCTGCATGACACTCAGTTTGATTACAATTGCAGTCGAGCATACACAAAATATTTTCAAATAAGCAAAGTTTTTGTCTTTTGCGTGGTGTAAGCTCAATTAATTTTTTAAACCAAATTTTTAGTCACGCCAGAAGTCTTATGTTGTTAGGATCAAATTAAATGATGTATTTTCATGAAATAGGTGAGCACCCTGATAGCAGAGAATACCCACCTGCGCAGCATAATTGCCCAAGCTGGCCTGAACATGAACAGGGTGCCCAATGGACACGACCGAAGTCCGACTCCTACCTTTGCAAGCCGCTCTCCCAGGTCTTCCATCCAGCAACGACCTGTTTCCATGTACGAACCAAGGACGCAACTCCAGGTTGGCCAAATCTCAACTGGTTCCTATTCAAACCTGAGCTCAGCTGATCCTGAGGTAATTAATAAATTCGACATAACATAAATTTCAAAAATTTTGAATTCCCAGATGTGGCGTCTGGATTCCACTGCTGAAATACTTCCTGCTCCAGAGGATGTGAAAGAGCGAACCGATGTTGTGACAAAAAGAATTCAGGAACTTTGGGCTGCGATGGTGGACAATAGGCGTGAATTATTTCTCCCCTGTGCTGTGCGGATTCGTGCTGCCGTTGGAGATCTGACAACAATTTTCCCAAATGTACTGATTTTTTTTAGTACAACGTCGAATTTTTCTGATTTTTCCATATATTTTTAGGAGCCGCAAGAAGAGCCAGTGCGCAATGCAATTCAACAATTAACCCAGCACTCGGGCCGCTTGCAAGCAGAGTGCACTTGTTTGCTGAGTCCAGGAATGTCCCCTAGTTTGGGTCCAGAAGGTCCCAATGATCCCAGTCACACTCTTTTGGTGCAGAAGGTGCGAAGCTGTGCGTACGACATTGCCAAGGCAACCAAGGTGCTTGTGACCCACTTCCAAGTTTGAGATAAATTATCCTCCAACATGTGATGCTGGTGCCTTACATAAAAATTCTAATTTTGGAATGTTTTCTATGTAAATTTGCAATTTGCCGTTTACTCATCACGACTGATGTACATAATATACTTTTATTAATAATAATAGCCTCAGATTTCTTTACATCTTAATGCATTATACCAACAAACAAAATTGTAATAATTTATCGTCCAACGTAAATACGATCAAAAGTTACATGAAATAAATAAAAATTATAATCTTTGAAACAATTCTTTTGTCAGTTAATTCCAATCAAGCTGAATTCCTCTCTGTCCTTGGACGCCCAGGATGCCTCTGCCAGGTCAGACATGAAACTCGCCACCTCCCGTCGCAGAGCCTGTCCTCCGTCTTTAGCTATGTCTACCTTGAATTGCTTTGCATCTGCCCATGCTCCGGCTAAATCAAGCAGATTGAAATAACTTATTTTCAATTAGCAAAAAGACTTACTAAGTTTCACACTAGAAGGCCCATTTCCCGTCAGCAGGACCAAACTGTGATTGAACCCTGGTGGTCGGTTTGCCAACATTTGTGAAAACTTCTCTGCGCTTTTGACATGGTCAGGTTTTGACGAGTCGATGACTAAAATTGCTGCATGCGCTCCGTGCTGAAAGGCTGGCCAGCAAGACTCGCATCTTCAATTTTTATTTTGCAATTGTTTATTTAAAACATATAATATATTTTTACTTTGCGTCTCCGCTGCAGTCCCAAAGTTCTGCTACCCATTTACTAGAAATTGAGCTAGGCGGTTCGTATTCCAATATACGCACTCCATGAGTGGGTCTGTATTCAAATTCATTGTTCTCCTCAACAGCTTCCGAGACGAGATTAGCAATGCGTGTTTTTCCAGACTATTATAACCAAGAAAGTATTGCGCAAATTTATGAACAGTTGAATTTACCTTACAAGGACCAACTAGCAGAATTTTCAATCGCATATTTTCTATGTAAAAGAGGTATGCTAGTTCAAATCTAACCCGCCCAAACCTTTCCTCCCCTTTTAACGGTGACGTCACAATAGATCTGAATAAATCAAATGGGGGGGTTTAATTTGTATAAAAAACTTAATTGTTTTGACATTGACAATAAGTACAAAATCTTTATTATAGAGTAACAAATAAATAGAAACCATTGTTGATCTCTTTGGAAATGCACTTGAATAATTGCAAAAATGCAACACTCTTAAAAAAATATATTAAGAAGTAAAATATAAAATAAAGTATGTAATACAATACAGTAAACTAATGTATAAATTGACACATGGTAATAATATAAAAATAATTTCGTACATGCATAAGAACAAGTTTTTGTGAATGTATACATAAATAATGTTAACAATAAGCTTTAGAAATAACATTGATAAACTGGTTGTAAATGCAAATAAAAGAAGTGCAAAAATCACCACTGTTGGAAGCTGCCACAATACAGGAATTTATATTTTTTGCAGCTAGCAAAAGGAATTATGGTCAAATTGCCAAATTGTTGGCAAGCATTTAAAACTACACCAATACGAGTACACTCCTGCCGGAAGTGAAAAAAAGTAATCAAGTGGAACGTAAAAGCTACCAATGGGATATCCTTATTGAGACGTTCAAAGCACATATTTGTAACTGGCCGGAACAGCCTGGAATTCAAATAAGAAATATTCACATTAAAAAAATTATGATAAAATCTAATTCCAAACTAACCGTGGGTTGTTCTGTAGAGTTGGAGCTGATCCTCAAAAGGTGGCACGATCGGCACAGAAGACACCCTTCCAGTGGGTAGCACCTTTTGTCGGGTTCGTCTGTCAACTGGATGCCACACTCTTCGCACATGTAGCAGTCGACGTGGAAATCTTTGTTCATTGAAACCACCCGCACGGTCTCCTCCGTGCCTTCAACCGGGGTTATTCCCTTGCCACATGCTGCACACTTTGGAGCAAACATTCTGAAAAATCAAATTAATTACGAGCTTTAATATACATTATTTTTTTGTATTGATGTGCCAAAAATACCTGTGATAATCGTTGACGCAATAGATTTTGTGATCGACATCAACTGTGAAAGGGACGCCGTCCAAACACTCGTTGCAAACACAGCAGCGGAAGCAACCTGGGTGGTATGACCTGCCCATCGCTTGCAGAATCTACAACAAATAGGATATTTTTGTTTTATTTCCTCAAATTTGATGGAGTATTAATAAAACGAGAAAATAAATTTTAAAAATACATACCATTTCCATGATTAGGTGGCCACAGATTGCACATTTTTCGGCCGTCTGCTGGAATCCCGAGTACTGAAACGGAAAAGTTTCGCCATTTTCGGAGCCGTCAAAGGGCGCGTTAGAAATTTCACGAACCAGATAATCTTCCTCGCAGTACACGCGGCCGTGGACGTTGTAAAACGCCTTGCCGCGCAGGGCCCGTCCGCAGGAGCAGCAGATGAAGCATTTGGTGTGGTAAAGGTTGCCCATGGCTTGGCACGCTTGACCGGCGCCGGTCACTTTTTCGTTGCATGTATGGCAAATTCCTGAAAGGTCCCCGGAGTACACGTTAGGAAAAAAGGAAACAATAATAAGCAAAAAAAAAATAAATAAAAAAAAATAAAAAAAAATTAAAATAGATCAAAAAATATGATAACGAAATTAAGTGAAAAGGAAGTTCATGTTTTCATAAATAAATGAAAAAGATGAAAATAAATAAATCAAGAATTTCTATTAAAAAAGGAAAGATCTCAAGAAAATGCAAAAATTTGTATAAAAAGTTACCGTTGATGAATTTTTTAAGCATGTTATTCATCCAAAATAAATTTCACCCACCGAAATACTCTCCCTCTTCTTCCTGCCGCTCCATCTCCTCCTCGAGCTGTCGGGTAAGTTCCTCGATTTTGAGTTCAGCCTCCGTCGGCCCCTTTTTCTTGCCGCCGGTCACGATGAAGGGCAACAAATTCTTGCTGCCTGGTTTCATCCGCAGCTGCGGCAGTTTGACCTGCGTCTGCTGCAGCACCTGCGGCGTCTGCTGCGGCGCCGCTGGCCTCGATGGCTTCATCATCACGTACTCTCCTCGGGAGGACGCGGGTGGCGACGGCAGCGGGGGTGAAGTGGCGTGTTGCCTCTCTGCACCAGGCAGGGCGCCGTCTTTCCGCTGCGGCTCGCTTACGGTCAGACCTGTGGCCACTGGAGGCGGAGCTGACCTTAGGTGGACTGCAGGCTGAAAAAAAAGGTTCATCAAAACTTACAAAGTGTCTAAATTTAAAAGAAAATCTTTTGTTGAACTCACAAAAAGTTAATCTTCCAAATCCAAATTCTCAGTAAATTGCAAGGAAAATAATTAATTTCCAAAAAGAAAAAAAGGAAGTAATATTTTAAAATGCAAAAACTTGATATAAATAACACAATTTTTGTTCATGGAACTTTTCAAAATTAATTTAAAATCTCACTATATATGCAAACGTTTTCAACTTTGAGACCAGACATTATCTCTGCATAAAAAAATAAATTAATATTTGAATTAAACTTTTCCAATTTTAGTTTGGATTTTCTTTCTTTTTTATCGCAGAGTCAATAAATAAAATTAAATTTGTAAACCGTGAAACAAAAGTAATGAATAAGAGAAATCAGCGGAAATGCATTTTTTTTTTTTATCTTACTCGACTGCGCCACACATTTTTTAATCTATAAACGAGGAAAATTTCAAAATTCTATATCAGTTAATGCGAACCTGAGGGCCGGGCTGCACTGGCGTGACGACGTTGACGCCGTGCGAGGGTGACGCGGGTGTCCGAGCCGCCTGCACCGGCGACGAGACGTAGAGCGACGCCATCCTCGCGGACACCGTCTGCATGTTCTCGTAGAGCGGCGGTGCCTCGTAGGGCGGCGCCTGTCTGGAGGCCTCGTAGGGCGGTCGAGGGCCCTGCGGCTGTTGGAGGCTGCTCAGGTTCTCGTACAGCGGCTGCTGCAGGTCGTACGACCTCTGGTGCTGCATGATTGTGTGGGGTGGTGCTGCTCGTTTCGTCTCGAATAATTGCGTCGGGCCGAAAACTTTGCGCTCAGGTTGAAATCGGGCACATCTTCTCTCTTCCTTTGACCTGGCGAAGAAAACGAGGAAGAGGAGGTTCACGACAAGAGAAGAGGAGGATGCATGGAGAAGAGATTTTGCTCCTTTTGTTTTCTCCTCGACCGCATACGGCGCATACCAAAGCAGTGCAGCCAATTGCCACTTGTTCGGGAAAATCCTTTTCTACCAACCTAATAAAGCTGTATGAACCACATAAAGTCCGAATAATTGAAATTTGCGAAGAAAGATCGTTTACATAAACATAATGTGTTAATGAATGAAATTTAATATTATTCAAATTTGTTTTTTTTTCACTCAAAATTTATTTCAATTATTTAATTTTCTTTATCAAAATAATTCATTTGGTTCTATTTAATATCCAGCAATAAAAAATTTCAGAAGGAATGCAACAATAATGAAAGGTTAAATTTTGTATAGATACATCAGATTTTTATTATTTTTGTTATTTATTCGGAGAACAACAGGACTATTTTTACTTTAGCTGCATGTAATTTTCATCTTTTTCATATGTACAGACATTGCACCAGCTATGATAAAATTATAATGATTTTAGTGATAAAATAAACAAGTCTTTCCTGCACTTGTAGAACATTTTGGGCTGCCAAGACCCTGGTAGTGAGCGTGTTCTGCGGTTTGCTGTTGGTAGCTGCCTTGGATTTTTTATTGTCTTGCTGAATTCAGTGCCCAAAATATTCCCAGTTCCAGGATCACGCGTTTGGATTTGAACACAAAAGATGTCACACTTAGCAACTGCTATGTACATTCAATAATAAAATGGCTTCGTTAGACGGATTTGTCGAAGATATATATCTTGTTACATTTATACCCATGAGGAAAAAAAACGTCGTTTGATTTCATGACACAATATTCTCGTTACTTTTCTTATCAAAAAAGTTCTAATCATCGTCCAGCGTACTTTGGCTGAGAGACGCGTAATATGTTTTCAGTTGGTTACAATTACACTTATTGCCGTTTGAGTGGGACTGAACAGATCCTGCCTTTCCGAGCAACAAACGGTTGAGCCTCACCCAAACCAACTTAACAATAATAAATAAAGATGTGGCACAAGTTGGCCTTTGAGGAATGTCAGCAGAGCCAAACTCGCAAGCTTTCTGATTTAGCAAATTTTTTCTCTCTCGTTCATTATTGCTCTCGTCGTTTTTTGATTCCCTCCTCATTTGGTCAAGCGAGTTTAGCTCGGTGCCAGCAGCAGGCCTAAGAAGAGATTTTTGAGAGTTGGCGATGGAAAGGGCTCGACTTTATCACATTCGCTTGAATCTTTTGCGTACCTGCCCCTCTGTCAGAGAGCCCTTTCCATCTGATAGATGCTTCCGGGCGGCCGGGAGGCGTAAAGCAGCGCTCTGGGTTGATGGAAGAATAAAAAAAAAACTTCATGAGTTGGATGGGAAGAGGCGCGCAAACAGAGTGTGTAAGAGATAGAGCCTCCCGACGCCCGCCAATTGCTGCAGTAATAAACCTTACATCGATAATATGGCGATTCAGTCATACACACTGTTATAAATATCTTCTCACTCGCAGTCACGCACATCAGCTAATAATTATTTTTCTTTATCGTGTTACGCTGCTCTCTCGTGGATAATAATTGATTTTCAATTATAATCGTAATAATAATAATAGCATCATGTAAGAAACTGCCTGTCTACTCCATTTAGAGAATTAATTAACGATGATTTACATTTTTTTCTTGTTACCAAAAAACTGCTTGCCGTTTTGTGCACTGATCTCTCAAAATAAAGAACCTGCAGTTCTTAGGTGTGTATGTGTGTATAAAAGTCTTGGTGCCGAGGAAAGAAAAATTTCTGCTCAAGCATAAAACTCCCGATTTGAGTTCTTCGTGTACGAGTTGATGGTCGGCGAACGCTTTGGCTCGTCCAGCGCGTACGAGCCTTCGTCTTTCTTCCTCATCCGGTAAACGATGAACATCACCACAAGGATGGCACACAATAGACCAACCACTGCACCTCCAATAACAGCTGGAAAAAAAATTCAACACGCGTTATTAATTTAAAAAATAACTTTGAAATAAATTTTTTTCTCAGTAAAATATTAAATCTTGATTTAAAAGATACAAACCTGCCAGAATACCCGGCTGGGCAAAAAACGAGGTAGCTCTGTCCTCTGGCTTGTTCATTGTGACTTCCTTGTCAAGGTCGGGCGTCTCTGGTGGATACACTGGTGGCTCGCCCTCTCCTCCGGGAATAGGATCAATCTCAAACGTGCTCTGTTTGTTGTCCTCTTTGTTGACCTTTGGCTCCTAAAATTGCAAAACCAAGCATAAGCACCTCCAAACTAAAACCCTTCTCCGGTGGCAAATCGGCTTATTAAGTAATTTGTTAATTTACCTCAGGCTTGTTCTCTGTTGGCTTCTTTCTGGGAGGGTCACTGAACTTTGGAACTAACGGAGCTGGAATTAAAACAAAATTGTTGTATTAAAAACATGACGATTTTTTTAAATATTGTTATAACAAAATGAATTTTTTAGTGAATTATTTATTTACCTTGGCCAGAGCCGGCAACTTCTTCTTCGTCATCATCATCGTCATCATCGATGGGTGACTTTCCGCCTATGGGACCTGCGCCGGAGCCGCTGGCCTCCTCTTCCCTCCTGCGGCCAGAAGCGCTGCCGCCTCCCTTCTTGGGGCTGTGTCCTGAGCCCTCGTCGGCGGCCCAGTCGTCGTCGTCCTCGTCGTCTTCGTCATCCACGTACAAGTCGTTGTCCTGCGCCCACACCTTCTCGTCGGCGGGCGCTTTTGAGGCCTCCTCTGTTTTGGCCGCCGCAGCTTTGCTTTCGGCCGCTTGCTTCTGCTGCTGAAACGAATAAAACAAAGGAATGTTAGAACAAGGCGTTTTTTTATTCAAATCTTGCGTCGACCCAAGAGCTGCGTGTGGGAAATGGGATTACGTCAGGGACCATTATTTTTTCGGCCGGCTGAGTGACCAGGAGTGCCTTTTGGCTTTAATGGATTTTCTTTCGCTCGCCCAGGTGCTCAACTTCGGTATGGCTGAGGTATTTTTGAGATAGAGTTTGTTTGGGATACGTTTGTTCGTTCTGAGCATTCTTTTGCCGCATTCAATGAATTGAAGAATAAATATAGAGTGCAGAATAACTGGGGCATCAGTTCAGTCCATCCCTGACAACAACAAAATCAATTCTCTTACAATGATGCATACCAGTGCATCAACTATACTTTTATAGAAGAACAAATTTTTAATTTCTAAGTTTTTTAACCATTGAATAATGATTGTTAATTAATATGGATATTTGTAAACAATATTTTTAAATATAAGAATATTAAACTCTTGATTACGTAGTTCTTAATGGAAGTTATAATTTTAGTAACTTACATTTTCAAGAATTTTAATTATCAATAATTAATCAGAAATTTTAAAATATAATTTTTTTTTATTTAGAAGATAAATATTTGTAAGAAGTTATGAAATCGGTGCCAAATTGCAATGTTCTCATTCATTAAATTGAAGAGAAGCTTCAACTCACATGATTGATTTCTTCTTTGAACTTACTAAATTTTAATTAATGCATGGCAATTTGTTCTGAAGTGTCAATTTAAATTTGGAAACAAATCCAATCAAACGCGACAAAGGAAATGAACATTACATTAAAATAACAAACGAAAGCGCAATTTGAGAACTTTCAAGAGAGACCGTGTGCGAGTCCTCGAACACAAAATGATCAATTATCAAAGCCGCAAATAATGCCCATAGTACGCGCCTAATTAAATCCAGCGTGTCGAGTTTCACCCCATTATTCCGTCGTCATGCCGTTATAATTATACCCCTGTGCGAATATCTGCCTCTCGGAAACAGCCTCTCCCTGCCCTAGGGTGAAGAAGTCGAGGGGGTGCGCCAAAGGGACCTCGGCTGGCGTTGGTCGCCGCGTTTCGACTGCGCGGTTCCTCTCGCCGCACCGAATCGAGGAGGTCATGCGCCCCTTTTCGCCACATACCGCGCAGGAGCCCCATCCGCACCCTTGAATCGATCTACAGCAGCATCTCTCACCTTGATTTTGGCCACTCACCCCCGCCCTCTTACAGAGACAATCGAGTTTATGCCCGCACGGGGCACAGGGGTCGAGACAAATGAGACGCATTTCGTCAAAACAACTTTTACCAAACAAAATTGAAAATCACGAAAATGATGCGAACAAATGCGTGTGATAAATAAACTTCAGAATTCTCGTCGTTTTCCTTCCAACAATAAGTCCTGTTAAAATCTGCTGTTTCTAATTTCTTTTTTGTGCTAACTTAATTGGATTTTAATTGACTCAAAAATTGAAAACACAAATCGTGTTAGGGGTGATAATGCAAATTTCCTTGGAATTCAATACCGCACTGTAGAGAATGTCATAACTGCAATTTTTTTTTAAATAATTTTATTTTAGGTGCGGTTTCCTACATTTAAGTTTCTTGCCATTAACTTATTTTTAGGACATTTATATGACTTTTTAAATTAATTAGATAAAATTTGTTCTAAACTAAACTTGCCACAATAAAATTTTATAACTTTATCCTTCAAAATAAAAACATTTTGTGGATTTCGTCTTTGTTTTTCATTTTGCATCGATTTCCCTTATTAAACTTTTTGACCAGAGTTTGCTTAGTGCTGAATCGAATTACGCACATTACGGTCTGAGCAAGTTAAAGTAAAGCAGCTTTTGAAGTTGCGGGAAGGGGAAAGAAAGAAAAAGAATAAAGAGAGCTAAAGAGGTTTCTTTTCGCAATCGCGCCACTTCTGCAAATGAAACGTCTAAAAAGCTTTTCGCCCCTCGAGAGCAGGGGAATTTTTTTCTTCGGAAAGAATTCTTCTTATATTCCGCTTGTTTGAGTTTTCTTCTCTTTGATATAGCAGAAGAATTCCGCCGAGAGTTATGTTTTGTTTCAACTCTACTTGAAAGAAAAATATTTGCGAAACACGCGATAAGAATTTTCTGATTTATAAAGCAGGTGTGGCCGCGAGCACCGCGGCAAAATTAATTTAATTGAGCTTGTAAATCTCACCGCCGCTTGCAACATTCGACGAGACGAGCATCTGTCACGAGTTATTTCTGTTTTTTGTTCAGTCTCATCGCATTCCAGTACAAGGAATTATGGAATCGGATAGAAATAATGCAATTACAGAGAAACTATTGCAAACAAATTCTTACATTGATAAAATTATTAAATGTTGAAGACAACTCTAAATTATGAAAAAATTACACAAATAAATAGTATTAATTATAACTATGCAATAAAAAATATTAAAAAAAATAAATTATTGATATTTTTTTGTGTTATATTAAATTTTGATGCTTTCATTGCCTGTGAAGCTGTGCTTTTTATCAACAGACAAAAATGTGCAGTAGTTTTAACGTCAACACGTCTCTCAATCCATCGGCAGCAAATTTAAATTAATATTCAAGGAAGTAGGCGCGGGGCAAGGAGCAGTAAAACGAAAATGCCGCGGGTCGAGTTTCGAAGCGAGATGGAGAAGTGGACGTGCAAATCCAAGGCCAGCCGCGTGTCTGCAGCTCTTCTCTGCCATTGTACTTGGCTGGCGCCGTGCTTACTTGAGATCATTTTCCACAGAGAACACGCACTGTGACCAATTAGAATGGCAATCTTCTCTTTTTGCTGCTGCACGGCGGCGGCGACGGAGGAGAGATCCAGCCTCTCTGTCAATAAATGCATGTTTGGCCAATACATAAAAGAAAGTGCGTAGAAAATTTTCGAGGGGAGATTTTTTGTCTCTTTCAGGTAAACTGTGAGCATTGTTGTGTTTTCCATTTTTTTTCCTCACTTTGGGGATTCGGTTTGGAGGTGTGCAGTGGGTGGAATGGCCACAGCATGGGCGCCAATTGTATCCCAAAAAGTCTCTAATGCCTTTTAAGAAGGTTCTTTCCTTCCACGCCAGCGCGTTTCTACTTTGGAATTTTCTCCCCCGCGTCCGCGAGAGAAAAAACTCAACAATAAGCAGTTTCGCAGCGGTCAGAAAGATTAACTATTTATTTTCGTCGCCACTGAGCTTGACAAAAACAAATTTTGGTCTCAAGAATAAGTGAACGTCCTTGAAGGGAGCAAACATCGCAATAATAAAAGTTTTACACTTTTACGATGCAGTTCTAGGTTTCATAACAATTTCAAAGAGAAAAATCAGTTCACCAAGAAAAAAATACAATAATGTTTTAATTTACCAAACAAATTTTATCCTTTAACTTCAAAATCAATTTTCAAATTAAAATTTTAATTGTTCAATTGCTTACAATCTGCTTACAATATTTCTGTAGAATTTGCAAACTACATAAGGTTTTTTTAAGTAATATTTAAAATACACCTGATTTAAATAATGTTTTATGACATAGTTTTAAATTACGTCAAAGGTATCTTAATTGCATGTTTGTATAAACAGAAACGCCAGCGTCACTAAACCGTTTTATATCGCTCCTTATTTGAATCACAAGCGTGTCCTGATTGAATGCTGGGACAAAAAGAGAAAAAAAAAAACAAGTGCGGGTGTGGTATCACACCGGACACTCCTAATTTAGATTCTATATAAATTTAAATTCCAATCTGGGAAACTCATTAGGATCCCCTTTTTACTGTATTTGATCCACAGATTTTAAATAAATTTCGGATTCGGAATAATTAAAAAATTTAAGATAATACAACTTGACCATAAAAATTGCAGAATATCCACTTTTAGACGAAATTAAATCAAATAAAACTGGCAGCCGCGCAGTATATTCTAAAAAATCTGGATTTTCTCTCCACTGTCAGAAAAATGTAGCATTTTTCTCACTTTCAAGTATTTAATTAAAATTAGCCCAAGGTGGTTTTCCCTGTTTTGAAGGGTCGCATTCCTTGCGTGGAAAAAGAAACAAGGTCAGCTCGTTCGCACCCCCTGGCTCTCTCGTCGGCACAAATGAATGAAGACGCAACGTTTTTTATTACCCGCCCTGGCTATAAAACGCACTGCGCTCTGCTCACGGGGCGGCGTGTTTTCATTTTTATCTCTTTTAATGGAGATAACGCACCCGTGTAAACATTCTTTTCACACGACTGCAGGGCTCAGCCATGGACGGATATGTAAAGAGGGAAAACACGACGAAAACTGCGAGTCGAAATTAAAATTGGCAGCGAGGTTGGGAGAAAAATCATGAGGGCTTTTGAAAAGTTCTTTGTTTTGCTTGATGGAAGTAAAATCCCGCTTTCTGTTAACGGCGAAACTCGATCTGAATAATATCACGGGCGAGGAGAAGAGAAAGATTTTTCGGCTCCTTCTGCGTATACCACGCAATTGTGTATAGAGACAGCCAATTAGCAGCTAATTAGGTTGGAATTTCGCAACATGCCTCACCAGAAAGCTAATTAATGATACTCAAATTAGAATAGTAAAGAGGGAACTTTGTTAGTTGTAATAGGTGTAAAGAGAAAAAAATCAATGTTGTAAATTTTAGCAGAATCTTCTGGACTGGTTAGTCATAGCAAATTAGAATTTAATAGATTGTTTTCTTTTTTCAATTAATTTCAAAATCGTGATTAAAATGCAAAGTCCTCTAACAATAAGATACATTATAAGAATGAGCAATTTTTAAAATAATCATTTTTGAGGATTTTAACTGATGCAGAACATAGATTTTGATTTACATAAAAAATTTGTTTAAAAAAATCTGCTTAAAATATCAATAAACATGATTATTCAAAACTAAAAAATAGTAAACTGAAATGATTTAATTCAAAGTTTATTCACCTTAATGCAAGTTTTAATCAGCTGGCAATTTAAATACCTCTTGACTAGCCTTGCATGATTCAGGC